CACATATCATAAAAAGTAAGTAAATTATGTCATTATTTAATTAAAACTTACGTTGTAACTCCAGAAATACTCTTCTGTAATTGTACTAACTGGTTCTTCTTTCACCTGGAGAATAATTATTCAAATGTAACAGGCCCTTTTCGAAAACATGTGATTTCAGTACCCCAATAGTGTTAGACAAATATAAACCTTAATTGATGTTTACTTTTGGTTTCATAAACAAATCATAACGCTTGTGATCCCACATTATTATAAAATATAAACAAGAATTACTACTAATATAATTTGCCGTACATTTACGAGAACACGCTTGTAAATAGTGGATCAGGAAACTTAAAACTGTTTACCTCTTCTATTTTAGTTATCGCTTCCGCCTCAATTTTAATATCTTCCATTATTATGACAATTTCATATTTTGCTAACTATGCTTTTATTTCGTGCTGAGTAGAGAAACGGGACATAAGAGTACAGTTGAATCTCGTGACCAACATTAGGATTGCACTAGAGCTGCTATCACGTTTGGCTTACCAACCTCGACGTGTCAAACCTATGGTGGAAATTATTTACACCATTGGTAAAACCCTCGACCAATTAGAAGCCGTCAAATCACTGTGCGGTACTTTTGAACGTAACAAATCCGCGAACATCCCTTGATTTTCCGTAAATATTCCTTTTTCTTTTTTAATTGTACATGGACTTTTTCAAAGGGCAGATTTTTTTACATTTGACTTTGAGGCAAAAAGTCTAACTTCAATTCTGTATTTTTCAAATATTAACACTTTGCAATTTTCGAAGAAAAAAAAATGTAAGTTCCTCGCAAAAGAGACTAGCACATTTTTACTGCCCTTATTACATACTATAAAATTTAAAGAAACAACTTTGGACATATTTTCTGAAGAAAAATTTAATTTTTATTAATATTGCTTATATTTCGCGCACAATTACACGAAAACTGCTAATATTTTCGAAAAAATTTGACGTTAAAGAACAGGTTTAAGGGAAAATCTTCAATATTGTTGTTGCACTTTTGCAATGTTCAACAAAACTGGGATTTAAAGGAACATGAGACCTGCGCTATTATTCTTCACGTCATTTACATTTATTCAAAGAGTTTAATAAATAAGTTAAACCATTAAAAAAAAATGATTTTTAAAGGAATCTGTAAACTATCCTCAAAAATCAAAATATCCGTTTCGCACTCCCAAGAACGGAGGGACCAATTTTAATTATCACTTATTTGTTGGATCCAACCCCGCCTCGAATAGTAGAATAACTATTAAAATAACTAGATATTTTAAAAAAAAACTAAATACTCATGCCAAATGCAACCTGCAACACGCGGCAATTTGTTTTTTAATCTGTATCGTTAAATAACTCCTAAACAGCGCGTTTTAGGGCATCAAAAACTAAAATTTTGAGGCTGATTGCCTCAGAGAAATGTTCATGACGCAGTAATAAACAGGATGAGATCTCGAATATTCTATTACATTTTTACTGGTCCGGCGCTTCTCGAGATTACCCCAAAAGCTCAGAATCTGCAACTAGATGTGTATGAGAGCGACAGAGAGAGGGAGAGACAACGAGATAGGAGAAAAACACGGAGGGGGTGAGACGAAGAGAGAGGGGAGAAGGAAGATGAAAGGCAGAACGTCTGCCGGGTTCCACTAGTTTACTATAATAGGATCAGCGGCTTTACGTTCGGGCCCAGGTAACAGGGGTCCTATTTTAGGGGATATTTTTATTGTTTAAGCTACTAATACTATTTGCATTTGCTATACACTTTTATAAAAGGGGCCGGATAAATGATTTGCGCGCGGGCCCGCCCTCAATTCGTTTCGCTACTGAACAGGGTTTTTTATTTATTTATTTATTTTTTATTTATTTTTTAATTTATTTTTCATTTATTTTTAATTTATTTTTTAATTTATTTTTTAATTTATTTATTTATTTCGTTACTAGGGCCCGGGAGTGTCTTTCTGCTGAAAATTTGCAATCTCCGGCGCACGATTGCATAACTTTCTCTTCTAAGTACCTTTGTAATGGTGAGAAACTTAAAGGATAGGTGGATAAAAAATACAGCAAAAATCACAATTCAATTGTTGGTACCATTTTGTTTTCACAATTCTAATCAAACTATAAAAATAGAAATAACAATAAATAGTTTTATTTTTACACTTTTTGTTGTTTTTACAAAATAAATGGCATACTGAAACTTTATTTTTTGCATGCATAACAAATAAAGAATAAATATATTTTACAAAAGAAAGTAGTGCATGTATACATTACATGAAGACTGTAAGTGCGTACATTGCAGAAGGTAAGTGATTTCTACCTCATCTCCAGTCTTTTCACTCCAAATAATTTAGAGCAAAGAATAACAAATTATTTACAATATATGAAAAACCTACACAAAATAAAAAAGATAAAAAAATGACAATAATCTATAAAAGGGAAATTCGATTTTAAGGGGGAAATAATGCAACAAATCTACAATGAAAATAAGTTGAAATTATCCTTTGTTAGCTTATCTAAAACTGGTATTAATACTCATAACTGATGTGGGAAGTCAAAATTTCGTTTGGTATCACATTTTGCATCTTATTAAATTATATAAAGAGTATTTATAATAGAAAGTGAAGATCAATGGTGAATGTTGGTGTGTTAATGTTGTATCTGGTATTCACAGAATTTTGTTTCTTTATAATTTCCCATTTCCCACACTAACTTTTAAAAGATTAATCACAGATAAACAAGCGAGAATTTTCTTCATTTATTTCAAATTTATGTTTTGTTTACTCTGATGGTATGAACAAAAAAGCAAATGTTCAAAATTATTTGTAATTTGAAAAATTAGCTGAATTGGGAACACTGCTCTATGAATGAATAATACAATAACTATAGAATGAGAAATTTGACAAAGCATGTACACTAAAGTTATCCTTAATAAAAATAACATTATTAACCAAGGCATCAGCAACTGAACAATCCAAAATAAATAAGATTACTACCACACTTATTCATTTACAACTGACTTCTCAAATATTGTCTTTTTGGGAAAGACATCAACTTATATTTTTACTTTTTTCTTTCTTTCAAATTCAATGTTTGTAATCTGAATGTTTTAGGAGAATCCAAGAAAATCACAGATAGACCTATTAACTGTGAATGGTCTAATGATTGTAGTAAGAAAATAATGCTGCAAAGTTTATTCAGCACTAGGGGGCGAATTTTGATGATCTAAAACACTGCCAAAAATGATCAATAAAATGCTTTTAAAATGCTTTAAAAATGCCTTAAAAATAACGGGAAAATTTCATCAAAACCGTTTCAGATGAACAACTCAAGCTGTTGGATATGTTACTGATGTAACCGAGCTTGTAAACTTTTGGTTTGGACTGTTCTTTAAAAGAAAATCTCTTGCCTTTTATTTATTGCGAAATCGGCCGAACTGACAATGATGCGGAGAAGCGCCACAAGAACCTTAGATTATATAGTACTTACAACGGCAGACATTACAATATATGAACGAAGAAATCAAATAAGCTATTCAGGATTTCTGTGGTGAACATTTGTTGAACATCGTAAACGTTGTTTGAAGCAAGTACCATTAAATTATATTAAAATCGATGAAATCAGCGAAAAATGCAGTAAAAATGACGAAAAAAAGGTAAAAAATGACGTAGTCTAAATCGACTACAAATTTTAAACAAAAACAAAAATTGGTAATTTTGTTTTGTCATAACATAATAGTAGATTATGCAATTAGTTTGTAATGTTAAGCTTTATTGCACGAGTACATGTTTTGAAAACGAGCGACTTTTCAAATTTGCAACAAATTTGCAATTCAAATAATGCAACATTATAAACGAGTTGGATACTATATTTTTTTGTATAACAGCATTATACATTTATAAGAGAATCAAACTTAATTGTGCGAAATAACTTCCCTGTGACGACTCGGGTATTTGGCATCATGTGAGTAAACGGTGGTCGGCTGTTCTGTTTATCTCTACCTCCCCTCGATTCTCTCGCCTCGATTGGCTGAATGTGTGATAACGCAATCATTTGTGACATAAAATTTAATACGTCATTTGTGCCGTAAAATGCCCAATTGCAACAGAAAAGGTTATTTTATAATACTGGAATGCAAAAACAATGCATTTTTATACTAAACTGCATTGTTCTAAATTTAAAAAAAAAACATTACATTACATTTCATTTAAATTCGCCCCCTATTCATCAAATTGCATAATTACATTTTCACTTATACTTATTCGTGCAGAAACAGGACTAGAAAATTACAATGACAATTGAGTGCTTATTGTCTATCGGCACAAATCATGTATGCGATTCTTTTAATAAAACAAAATTCCCTGCAGTGATATTCACGTAATTCATCTCATACCACAGAAGATACATCTCATACTACCATCAAAAAACAGACTGTGTTTTAGGGGCAGAAGTCGAAATATTTCTTGTTCCCAGAGCAAGCCTGTGATAAAGTTAATGGAAATCTTGGCATTTCTAATTCAGAGCTCACAGATCGAAGTCAACCCTTTCATAGAAGTGAAATTTGCAAAACCACCACTTGGTTTGATCCCATTTCCTACAGCCCATTGCTGGCTCCAGCAAAATTGGCCAAACACAGCTATTTCACTTATTTCTTAGTATTGTGAAGGAAATAATCTCCACAAAAGTTTTAATAATTTTATTAATAATTTTCCAAAGTTAACTTTCGGGAAAACACTTTTTCCCCATGCTCAGTGAGACGATCTCTAGCAAAAATGGAGAAATGAAACATTAAACATACAGTGTACAATGAATTTAGTGGAAAAACAAATATAATATAAATAAATCCACTAAATTCACTGTCCCCCACGTTGTTGTGTTCAACTTATGTTAATGTTTCATTTCTCCATTTTGTCTAGATGATCCACTGAGGATGGGAAAAGTGTTATCCCAAAAAGTTAACTTTGGAAAATTATTAATAAAATTATTTAAAAACTTTTGTGGAGATTATTTCCTTTACAATACTATGGATTACCACAAGATATCTGCTACCACCACGGAACTTATTTCTTAGTTATGAAATAAAAACAAACTTGGGCCTCTGGGTGTTGGTAGATCTTGAAGCAACCATCATCTTGAAGAAACCATCAACATCTTCGTGGCTCATTCTTTACTAAAGCAGCCTGTTCCACTTTCCATCCGCATGACTGAAAAATCTCCTGGGCAGTCTGAAAGCTAGACAGAAGAGTACTTGCCGACTATTAAAACAAATGGCAGCTTTCCGCGGTTACGGAGCCAAATTTTCACAATCAAATATCCACCACAAAATTCATTCGTTCTCTCCAGAGAAGACTTAGGAACTTACATCACAATAAATATTAATACAAAAATACCAAGATGAAAGACATGGCTGAGCTAGTCCGACGCACCGACTTCTGCACGTTCAGCGCAGCACCAGATAGTACGTCATGAACCACGTGACCACAACATGGACACATGAAAAACCAAGCCAGACGCCGCCCGCCATGCTACATGGTAAGCGAGAAGCGTTGAAAATCCTTTTGAAAGTGACATTAAGTGATAATTTTCGATGTTGACCAAACAAAAATAACATGAAGATGAAAGTTGGAATAAGAGTCGTAATATTAAAAAAACTTCATATATGTTTCAATGAGTTGTAACAAAGAGATAACTGTTTTGGTATCTAGCTGTATTTACAATTCTCGCTAATATTGTGACGTAAACTGATGCATGAAGCTCATTGGCTGAAGTCTGATACTATGCGCGGTAGCTCAGCCATTTCTTTTATCGTGGATAATACACTCCCACTCGCCAGCCTCGGGATCGTTTCACACGACCCACAGGCATAGAGGAGAAAAATATCTCTACTCTATGCCCACAGGGCGACACGCACGCGTGAGGCGTTTCAGCTGTCTGCGGAGCCAAAGAGGTAGGGGGGGGGGGCATCACATACCAGCCCTCCACCTCGGCTGTTGAGGTTCAAAAATCTCCGTCGTCGCACGTGAAATCTGTGGCGGACAAAAAAAGCCGGTTCGCTGAAGGCAGTTTTTTCGGGGAGTTCCCCCGGTTCCTTAAATTGTCAGACCCGCACTGATACCACCAATCCATAACCCCATTTCCAGAACGGCTACAAGACGTGGATTCTTTTAAAATTAAAAAAAAAAACTTTGTCCACTACTGGAACGGCTACGAGGCTTGTGGAAGCATTTTTTGCCTTCCCAACAACCAGAAAAGCACGGTTTCCCGGTGTATACCCGTTTCTCCAGCCTGTCATCCCAACTAATCGAACAAAAAAGGCTTCGCCCACCACGGGAAAGGCCATGAGGCATGGTAAATAAATTATTTATTCTTACCCTCCCAACTACGAGAAAAGCGGGTTTCCTCCGGGTTCTTCCATTTTCCCAGCCTGTCACGCCAACATCACACCACCAATCGAACAAAAAGCCTTCGTTCACCCCGGGAAAGGCCACGATACATGGGAAATAATGATTTATTTTTACCCTCCCAACGGCGAGAAAAGCGGATTTTCTCGGGGTTCTCCCATTTCCCCAACGCGCCACTCCAACATCACACAACCAATCGAACAAAAACTCCTTCCTCAAACTCCGTGAACGGCTATGAAACTTTTAAGATTTTGTTATCCTTCCAACTATTAGGAAAGCCTATTTTTCTAGGGGTTCTCCCATTTCCCCAACCCGCCACTCCATCACAGCACTAATCGAACAAAAACTCCTTCGACCACTCCGGGAACAGCTACGAAACTTGAAGATTTTTTTACCCTTTCAACCATTAGAAAAGCAGATTTTTCTCGGGGTTCTCCCATTTCCCCAATCCGCCACTCCAACATCACAGCACTAATCGAACAAAAACTCCTTTTTCCACTCCTGGAACGGCTACAAAACTCGAACATTTTTTTAACCCCTTCCAACCACCAGAAAGCGCAGGTTGTTCGTTGTTGTTGCTTTTTCTCCGGGTTCTCCCGTCCGCGGCGTCGGCGCCGGCGCCGGCCTTAGCTGGGCGCGCCGTCGTGCGCGTGGGCGCGCAGGTGGTGCGCGTTGAGGTGCGAGCGGCGCACGAACGCCTCGGGGCAGAGCGCGCACGGGAAGGGCCGCTCGCCCGTGTGCAGGCGCACGTGGTCGCGCAGCGTGTTGCTCTGCGCGAAGGCCGTGCCGCACTCGTCGCACCGGAAGGGTCGCTCGCCCGTGTGCAGCAGGCGGTGGCGCTGCAGGTGCGACGAGTCCCTGCGCCACCCCACACACATGCACACGCTAACTACAACACTTTATACAGGAGGGGACGACGATAAGGGTGCTGGGGGGCGAGGGGAGTGACGGAGGAAGGCGAGGGGAGCGGAGGGGAGGGGCGAGGGTGGGACGGAGGCGAGAGGGAGGAGGGGGGTGAGGAAAAAACGGAAGGGAGCGAGGGACGTGACGGAGGGTGGCGAGAGGACGTGAGGGCGGGAGCGACGGGACGTGTCGGAGGGAGGAGGGACGTGAAGGAGGGGGCGCGGACGTGACGGAAGGGGCGAGGGACGTGAACGGAGGGGGGCGAGGGCGGTGACGGGAGGGGGGGCGAGGGACGTGAACGGAGGGGGGGGCGAGGACGTGGACGGAGGGAGCGACGGGGACGTGCGACGGAGGGCAAGCGACGGGACGTGACGGGAGGGAGCGGACGGGACGAGACGGGGGAAAGCGACGGACGTGACGGAGGGAGCGACGGGACGTGACGGAGGGAGCGACGGGACGTGACGGAGGGAGCGACGGGACGTGACGGAAGGGAGCGACGGGACGTGACGGAGGGAGCGAGGGACTGACGGAGGGAGCGACGGGACGTGAGGAGGGAGCGACGGGACGTGACGGAGGGAGCGACGGGACGGGACGGAGGGAGCGACGGGACGTGACGGAGGGAGCGACGGGGACGTGACAGGGGGCAGGGACGTGACGGAGGGGGCCGAGGGACGTGACGGAGGGGGGCGAGGGCGTGACGGAGGGGGGCGAGGGACGTGACGGAGGGGGGCGAGGGACGTGACGGAGGGGGCCGAGGGACGGGGCGAGGGAGCGACGGACGGGGCGAGGGAGCGACGGACGGGGCGAGGGGAGCGATGGGCTAACAACCTGACGGCGCTGTCGCAGATGTAAATAGGTAGAGGGGGTAGAGCGGAGGGCGGGAGGGATGGGCGTACGCACCTGAAGGCGCAGTCGCAAAAGGCAAGGTGGGTGGCGAGGGGAAGAGAGGAGGGGCGGGAAGGGCGGCGTAACGCACATGACGAAGCAGTCGCAAATATAAGGAATTGAATTGAATTAATTAAAGGAAGGGTCGACGGAGTAGAGTGGGGGAGCGGGAGGGCGGGATGGGCCTAAGCTCCTGAAGGCTCAATACGCAAAGGCAAGGTGGCGGCGAGGGTGTGGAGTTGGGGGGGAGGGGGAGGGATGGGCGTACGCACCTGAAGGCGCAGTCGCACTGCGCGCACTTGTAGGGCCGCTCGCGCGTGTGCGTGCGCAGGTGGCGGCGCAGGTTGTTGCTCTGCGCGAAGGCGGCGGCGCAGTCCGGGCAGCGGAAGGGCTTGGTGCCCGAGTGGGTGCGCACGTGCGTGCGCAGGTGGGAGGGCGTGGCGAACGCCTTGCCGCACTGCGCGCACGGGTGCTTCTTCGGCGTGCGCCCGCCCGCGCCCTCCTCCGACCCCGCCTGCAAACGGGAGCGCCCCGGGGCCTCGCGTCCACAGCGCGGCCGGCGCAGCGCCTGCCTTTGCGCACCGGTACGCACACTTTGGCTTTTTTTTAAATTTGTTGCGTCTGATTCTGACGCAGCGCGTCTTTAAACCCCTAGGAGTGCGTTGAGCACTTGCTAGGAGTAATCCTCCGTTAACATTTTATTTCGAGTAATCCTCCGTTAACATTTTATTTCGAGTAATCCTCCGTTAACATTTTATTATTTCGAGTAATCCTCCGTTAACATTTTATTTTGTGTAATCCTCCGTCAACATTTTATTATTTCGAGTAATCCTACGTTAACATTTTATTATTTCGAGTAATCCTCCGGTAACATTTTATTATTACGAGTAATCCTGTTAACATTTCATTATTTCGAGTAATCCTCCGTTAACATTTTATTTTGAGTAATCCTCCGTTAACATTTTATTATTTTGAGTAATCCTCTGTCACCATTTTATTTCGAGTAATCCTCCGTTAACATTTCATTATTTCGAGTAATCCTCCGTTAACATTTCATTATTTCAAGTAATCCTCCGTTAACATTTTATTATTTCGAGTAATCCTCCGTTAACATTTTATTATTTCGAGTATTCCTCCGTATTTCGAGTAATCCTCCATTCCTAGAATCCTAGAATGTAAATTAAATATTTATTTTGCCTCACAAGCACAGAAAGTTTTTTTGTACAAGAGCACAACAAGCCACATTAGATGACAATCATTCAGATTCATATCCCAAAACTGTGAACTTTCATTTCATTTACTGTTGTTATCATCAAACATCCTTTTTCTGGAATGCATATTGGGTCTCCTGGTCTATGACATCTTAGTATGGTTTCTTTTGTTTTTTGCACATACATCATGAGGACTCTATTGGGTAACAAGAGAACTCATTAACTGGAGCTATTATCTGTTGGAAAAAAATCACTCCTTTTTTCCAGATGGTGTAGTAAGTGTAATACAATTTGTGATAGTTAATATCTCGATTTCAGTCTTGCTGAGTGTGGTATACTTGTTAGTTACTTTAGTTTTGGAGTTAGTGTGTCTTATCTTCTTACTGCCCTAAGACCTTCTAATACACTTGTTGTATTGATTATTACAATTTGTGCAAAAATTGTGAAGATCATGTAATAAATGAAGATGCATAACCAAAACATTTTTTTTTTTTTTTAAATCTGTGGTAAGAGGCAAACTGATACCTTCATCTTATTTTCTAAATACAATTCAATGTGACATATTGCTATCTAGAGCCAAATCCTTCAATTGAAGAGAGCAAAGAAGTCACCATGACCCAGGTCCATATAAATTTCACCTGGCATCATGCAATCGACGATATAAACAAAATATTCTTATGAAATTGTCCCCAAATGTATCAACCATCTGGAGAGGATAAATGATTTAGAGTTGAAGATCATCTTATTTTCTTTTGTTTTTTCAAAAGTTTATAAGCTTTCCTTTAGAATCTAAAAAAATTATGGATGGATGAATGAATAAATAAATAAAAATAAATAAACAGGTGGTATTTACCAATAAAATTACTTCTTATCAGTGTTTATCGAGAATAAGTAGAGAAAATGCAAGAAATCATAAGATTGTAAAGTTTGCTGTAAAGTTTTTAATGAACTGATCACTGAATTATTTATATTTATATTTATATTTATATATATATATATATATATATACTATATATATATATATATATATTATATATATATATATATATATATATATATATTCCTTATCCCAGAAATGATTATAATTATTAAATGTAAAGACAGCCTTTAAACCACTTCAATAGCTATAACAATATGGATTTTTCTTTCACTTTATAAGACAGATTTTTTATATTATTATACTTTCCCTTTTTTTAGAAAGATAATACTAATCTCTTTTTGACACCCATTTACTTGTGATAATGCAGGTTTACACACAGGCTTTAAACCTCTGTGGAATAATGTATTCATTATTTGTAAGTATTACTATAACCTGTTAATGAAATGAAATTGAAAAGTACACAAATGAAGGCAAGCCATACCTTTCGCTTGCCTGCAACTGTCACCTCCTTCTTTGACAGGTCAATGGGGACCACATCACTTGCTGCTGCCTCAACACCTGCCAATGCACAAAATAACCTCGTGAGACTAATTCATGAACAGAAACAAAAAAACCTAAATCGTCACACAAATTGTCAGTTGGTCAAACACAGCCAGAGGGCAGTAGTTTTCCTATAAAGGCTTGTTAAGAAGCCATTTGATCCTTGCAGCCAAGTTTTTGTTTTTCAGCCCGTAAAAGTAGCAGTTTAGTTTTCTGTTAAGTTTACGATTTTTCAAAACAAGCAAACCTGACAGCAGTGTTAATTGTCGATAATACACGAAGTGATTTTCTGAAATTAGTTTCATTTTTAACATTACTGTTTAAAGATTAGCATGGCTTCTTCCAAACTACACATCTTGTTCATAGGTACACACTGTTATAAAGACAGAATTATGGTGTGATGAAAGACACGATGTGGAGAAAGACAGAATAATGATGAATGATTAATGTTTAAAAAGCTCTTTTCACAGTTTTCGGCTAAAAGTAGAAGAGGCGCCAAGAAAAAAATAAAATTACATTAAATTTCCTACAAAATAATGTCAGATTAATTTTATAAAATGTAAATTAATTTTATCCAATGTAGGTGGTAGTGCAAGGCAAAAATTAACAAAAATTTTGTGATATGCCAAAAAACAATTTTTAAAAATGTATTTTAGCTTACAACTACAAAAATCCTTACTTTTAGAAGAGAAAAAAGTTTGGCAATGTTCCTACATAAAACATCTCGCAGGCCTTTCTTTTCTGATTAACAGTTTTGGCACTAGAGCACAGTGAAAATGAGTGTTCCATTAATAATTCAACTATGTAGAGAAAAAAAGAGAGCTTAGGGAATTTAGAAATCATGCACAGTAATGGTAATGGTCATGTAATGGTTACACACACAGTAGTGATCATATTTTATGGTAAATAAATAATCCATATGAGCATTTATATTTCAATTACATTTTTCGCTAGATCTCCAACTTCCTCTAATCGCTTTGCCTCTGGATGCTTTATTTCTCTTCTCCTCTTCAACAGCATCTGCAAGAATCTGCAAGACTCGTTCATTCTTGTCCTGTAACATACCAGAGGCACCATAAACGTAAGGTATACACATGTCGCAACCAAACACTGGATCTTAAAGGAAATGTATTTTCCTTGGTTGGCAAGGTTGCAACACGAGGTCAATATGGACAATTCTAAAAGCACAATAAAATTACTTTTACCATACACTACTTTTTAAAAAGCCTTATAGACTCATTTCATTTTAATTCAAATCTACAAATCTTTTAAGGATACGTCATCAGTAGTAGCCAATGCAATCATATGAAAGTATATTGTTTCCTTTGCTGCATTCACAGATTTATAAGAACACTTGAGCATTGTCTCACATTTAGCACTTGTACTAAAAATTGAACTTTCAGCATGCATGTATGCCTTGAAAGAACTTTTATTAGTGGCTATCTAAAATATATATTTAAGATGAGAGGTAAAAGTGGCATTTTATTTTGCAAATAGGAAAGGTTGCAACATAAGGTTAATAGCCTGAGTGGTGCAATATAACAAGCAAAATAAAACTGCTTCTAGCCCATGTTTCATATGCTATTTTTCAGATGACCATCTTGAATTTCATTACGCTGTGAACCACAAAAGTTATCGTCGATGTGAGTGCAGTCAATAGTACAAATAGTTTCGTATTTCTAAGGGAATTGAAGTGCAAAAGAAACAAATGAGTATCCTTTTTATTTTTAAGTCCCATTTTAATGCCTTTTTCATATTATTTTCTATTTGGGTCCTGTTCTACTACAATGTTTCCCTTTATAATTCAGGGTCTGAACATAGCCCTAAAACCCTTTTTCTTTGACATATTTTTAAAGAAAAATCTGCAACAGCTGAACCTTTCTCTTTCCCTAAAAATTGTTAAACTTACTAAGGTACAAGAAACTACTTATTTACATACCCAGACGCAAAAATAAAAAATTAAAATTTCAGCTCAGAGTGTACACAACGTTTTTTCTTACCTCCAATATTACATTTTACTTAATGAAGAATTTCAAATGTTAATGGTTTTAAAAACTTCATTCTTATTGAGCCAGTTATCACAGTAATGCAGATTTCTAAGCAGTTAGAGATCACACATTAACAAATTACATTTTGTCATGCTTAATTTTATTCCAAACTTCAAAAAGATATTGTAAAATATCTATTGCTTCACAGGAAGTATTGTTACATAATAGAAAGAAGAAAAAAGTGCAACACTAATTAAAAAACTATATTCATAAGTTTTGATGAAATTGGGACTTCGATCTTTACAGAACTAAAATTAAAATTTTTTTGACACCAAAAGATTTCTACCTTATCTATGATAGTCGGCAAAATCCATCACACTAATATTTTACTATTCTTGAAAAGGTCTTTTGTCACAAATAGGTTCAATAGATATATGTATGAACATATATCTGTAAAAAAAACATTTTACATATACTTAAAAAAAAGATTGGTAGAATAAATAATGAAACTTTTTTTTATTGCTTCATGTAAATAGACTTTTTTGGTAGATTGCATGTGTAAGACACAATTAGCATAGGATGTGATAAGAATGAAAGTGAATCATTTTTCAGGAAAGACACATTACATTTAATTCAATTTTCACTGCAATTAAATGATAAACTTATATTTTATAGATACAATCATCAACAATTGGACTTGAAATAATTACTTGGGAATAAATTAAATATGATCATTTAACTGATTAGGCAAATTAGATTAAAAATAAGTTAAAAAAATATATTGCTTATGGTGGCTGTAGGGAAGACATCAAAGATCTAAGAATCTATGCATAACTATGCTCACTCACAGGCAAAGCATTGGTGCATATGGTGCTAAAGAATATGTACTTAAAATTTTAATACAATATTGTTCACTATTATACTGGTGATTACAATCTGATTCAATACATGAAATAGATTAAATTTAAGCATATATTTTTCCAATTATGTATTCTATAAATTAAAATTCCATATTGCTGGAAGATCACATAATTATTCACAGAAAGATATCGGCACAATTGAAATCCTTCAGCAGATTAACAAATCATCATTCTTACATATTATGATTCATAATGACATTGACTGAGCTGAATTGTAATTTAACTCAACTGAAACATTTCTTGACGACATCTCAGAGACGAATGAGCAAATTTTCTATGTACCAACCCTCAACACTGATGTGTAGCTTTCCACCTTTTTGAGGTATATGTGCAAATTGGTGAATGCACATATTATAGACTTAGTGACTGCATCAAAACACAAATTCAATGTTTCAACAAACAAAATGCTCAACAATTGTAAATGATATGTTTGATTTAAACGGCATTTAATTATCAATTATTATGAATTACCCATTATTGTTATTGCCTTACAATCAATAATAATAACCATCACATTTTTAAATGAAAAAATACAATAAAATTTTAGAAAATAAATTAAAAACATACATGTGTACTTCTGTCATCTTCAGTTTTCCCTGCAACTCCCTCTTCCTCCTCATCCTCCTCCATCTAAAAGTAAAGAAAGTCTTTAAATTCAGAGTTCAAAGCAATAAAAAATCTTAATTCAGTAAAACTTGCCAGATTTCAGAATCTCAAGGGAACAGAATTTTTTTTTTTTTTTTTTTTTTTTTTTTTTTTTTTTTTTTTTTTTTTTTTTTTGTTGTTGTATTAGGCAAGATTCCACATTACGCAATGTAAAACCGTAGCATTCACATTTGGCAGGATCAGGATTAATGTTCACATTAGACAGGTTTGCTCATAATACATGTTCCACATTCAGCAAGTTCTTCTAATATAATAATAATGAATATAATACTACAAATATTATTATTGCTATTATTTTTTTATTATTGTTTTTATTATTATGATTATTATTGTTATTATTATTATTATTATTGTTATTATTATTGTTTTATTTTTATTAAAAATTATTATTATTATTGTTTTATTTTTATTAAAAATTATTATTATTATTATTATTATTATTATTATTATTATTATTATTATTATTATTATTATTATTGAAGCACCAAAAATTTGGTAATAATTATGAAGGTACATTACATTATGAAGGTAATTACTCAATTTTGTGAAGTATGGGCCCTTGTTTTGCTTCTGGACATAAATGTAACTTCAAATTAACTTCTCCCAATAGAGATCAATAGCTAATCTGAGAGGAAATATTGATGAATTAGAATACTGAAGTTTTAGTAGAAGTATATAAGGTTGCATTTCTAGAGTTGTCATATCCGTTTATGTTGTTTTTGATAGTAGATAAATTCCTACATTATTTTCAAAACCCTGGTTTTAAAGGTCTAAGATGCATCATTTGCAAGTTATGCACAATGATTACGTGTGTTGCTAGTGCACATGCTCTTTTTCTCATTATCTGCAATTTTTTTCACATTTATGTTATTTTCAAGTTGACTTTTTATTTTTAATTCAGTGGCTATGCTTGGAAAGCATTAAAAACAATTTAATTAAAATCATCTATAATCCATTGAATGATCTCCAAAATAAAAAATTCTTTATGGTGAATGAACTTTCGGTAACAGGAGATAACGGGAGTAACAGGAGTTCCTCACAAGAAATCCCAATACTCACAAGAGCTCCTACTAACTGGAGCCAAGAAAGCATGACCACCTTAGTATAAAAAAAACTTGCATTATATTATGAAGGGTCATTGCATATTGATGAATATACCCTAGCTTGAAGGCCTACTCAAGATATAAATATAAAACTTTTTGCAATCAGTATCCCAAATATGTTCTCTAATCTCAAAATAATTTCATTTAAAACTGCTTTGAGTTGTTGTTTGTTTGTTTTGTTTTTCCCCTCACGAATTTTAAATACTACTCACATATTCATCACCATTTTCATCTAAGGGCTCCTCTTTTATCTGCAAAGAATAAAACAATTGTTATAGAAAATAACACTACTAGACACTACTGAATGAAAAAAGAAATTTTTAAACAGTCTTACACCAAACACTAGACCCTAAAGCTCACCTTGTAATTTGCTCAAATCTGATCATTCTCGTATCTATCTATTATTGTACAGTCAGTGATTACTTTGTTAATGAGACAATTTACTAGCAAAATGCTGCAGTTAACAATACAAAAGGCACCAATGGAAGAATTCTACAAGATTTATTGTAGGATAACATCTTTTGTATTAATAGTCCCATACCATTGTGAAGAGGGAGGGTGAAGTGCAGTGATGAACCCACTATCTTTATTTTGGTAAAAAGTTTCAATGTTTAGAATGTTTACAAAACAATTCAAGACCATTTCCATGTGTATTAGCTTCATCAAAACTCTGACATTCTCTTAATATAAGACCTGCCCATAAACATGTTACTATCCTTCCTTTGTATCTAACACTGTACTTAACCCTTGTGCATTCTTATCAACAACTTTTAATGTAAGTGCAACTAATTTTTAAGCAAAGGATAAAGTCACCAAAGTCTCGGAGCACCTCCAGAAAACTGTGCAATGCATGTTACAAATATAGTTCACCTTACCACACCTCCAGGGCATCTAACGAAATCACAAAAATCACATGACCAGAGGCTGCATAGTTTCCTTTCAATTGCTGTGCACAATTAGTTATGTAGACTTCCTAACACTACAAAAACTATAAGCAGCAGAAAATATTTTACTTCTTCTTTTAAATTTGGTTAAATATAAATTTTTTAAAAATTACATCAGTCTTACACAAAGTAAAGGACTAAATTTCGATTGATTGTTTAGTGCTTTCGAGCAAGTGAATCCATAAGTCCCATAAGTGTAGTGCATGTTTTCAATGCTGGATATGGTGGTGATCTTCCCCAGCTAGATGGCGAGATCCGCCACCGACCTATGTAGGCTTGCAGGGATTTTACCCCACCAGTGTGACACCACCCCAGCCAGGAAAAGCTCCAAGCTTTTGACTGGTCTTCTGACAAGCTTAATTTTTGCATTTGGACGTTCTCGTAATATATGTAATTCTTTGTTTTTGTTTTCGACTATGTGATGAACTTTAAAGAAAATGTGAATGTGAACATGGAAAATAAATGTCGAAATGTAATTTCAGTAGACTCCAACAACATAGAATATATTATATTCTATATAGTATATTCTAGCTCATTGGTATACTTACTAGCACTTCACAGAATCCTGGCACGGGTTCTTCAGGCTCCTCCTTAATCTGTGAAACAAAGGAAACCCAGCATTAACACAACTTGCATCAGAAAGCACCCTGGAATATACTGATCCAATTATGTCAAGAAGCTCAAAAATTTCATGACAAAGTAATAGTTATCCAAATCCAAATAATAGTTATCCAAAATACTATGTCATTTTTACTTTATTTTTGTATTTAGGTATATAAATCAAGTTCACCAATCAAATCTACTCCCTCTTAACATTACATATAACTAACTTATCACACAATTTGATTGGTTTGTTTTAGCTTTTCAATGATATACTGCTTAGCACTCATGAGCAATTACATCAATGAATGAGGATAAACTGCCTTCCATGCTGCAGTCACAATTAGAAAACATCTTGTTGTATGTTAGATTTTAATCTACAACCCTGTGTTCCAACCAGAGCTTTCTGCCCTACGCATGACAGAAAAACTGGAGAAATTGGTGTGAAAACACAAAAGCTGGACTAGTTAAATGAGATTGTAAAATGTAAACAAAAGACACTTACCTGGACTTCACATAAGCCAGGAGTAAAACTTCTTGCTTCACCTCCCACCTAAACAAAATTAAAAGAAAATTCTGTCTGACAGTATTTTTGAGGACTCAACGTATAGCACATAAAAAATACTACTTATATTAATAACATTAGCAGCAAGTATTAGTACAAATATTACCTCTTACTATTTTTTAATGTTTATTTTCAATAATTTTTCACAGCATTGCACAAGCTCAATACAGTGAATTGGAGAAATCAAGAATTTTAGCATCATTAATAGAATATGAATCACATTGAATATTTAAATTTTCTGAATTTTTTTTTAAACATAACTGTGGAGTCAAATGCAATAAAACAAATGAAAATGTCTATTGCCTGCAAAGAAAAAATTGAAAGGAAAAAAATATTAAAAGTAGATAAGAAAGATAAACATTGAATTAAATGCATAGATGACCCAAATCTTGAAATAATCGAATAATCAATAAAATAAAAATTGTAAACCAATATACATAGCTGTAGTAATGGAAAATTGTAAATTTTGATAAACATGCTATTTTCTTTACCACATACATATGATGTCAGCTGAAGTGTCACCTACAACAGTAATAATTGAAAAATCCATATATTTATGATTAATCATTTTGAACATATTTTCAGATGTCATTGTTTTTTATAGAACTTCCAATTATAATGAACAACATTCACTGACATTTTGAAATAAGTTCCCTGGTTGGCAGATGTCAAAATGTCACAATTCTAATATGTTTTTTCTAAATATCCTTCGTTTCCACCAACAAATAAATGTCATATTTGCAATGCAATACATAATTAATTGAGAGAAAATGTTGTCCCGCAATTTAAAAGTGATCATTTTTCTAACCTAAAAAGATGCTATGTTTACCTCGCCGTCTTCTGTTTTCAACGATACTTCCAGGAAAGGTGTAACATCCATAACGTCCTATAACTTCACAAAAACCAATATCCACGATCTTTTTTATGAATAAATCAAAATGCATTTAGAGAGTTATAACCTAACACGATTTCAACTGACACAAATTGAGAGTAGAGAGATTTTGCATAGCGTACCGTAACGCACCCACGTGACCATTCACACTGGTTCACACACTGAAGTCTTTACTTACACTCGAATTTAACTATGTTGACTGATACCAGTTGGACGTGATTGTCCAATCGAGAAATTCATTATACATTAATTTTTGTATTGAAGTTTTCGATTGGATAATTGTATCTGTGGTGATCGAACATCAGAAATCAGTAAAATTAATTCCGAGAGTAAAAATAATGCTTGCGTCATGGGGTTATTTCGACCAAGGTTTTCACCATGCAGATTGTAAGGAGGACATTCAAGCGGCTCAACTGAGCTTCAACGACATTACGCGGTCAATGCGAGAACCGGACAGACAGATACAATGCAATCCGTCTTCACGACCACTCTATTTCCCGACCGCTTTTTTCGGGGCGGAATTTTTTCCCAAATGACCAATACATTGAAATCCTCTGTATACCGACCACACCTCTTCCCGACTAACGACCACCATTTCCTCTACAAAATCACACTTTTCCCCCTTTCAGGCTACCACCGGAGAGAGTACATTAAACCCTCTTCACGACCACCCCTTTTCCCGACCACCTCTTTTCGGGAAATTTAAATCTTCTGTACTCTGTATCCAGCTTCCGATTCTCTTGAAATTCGTGATTGTTGCAGCAGATATAGGCATCATCACCATTTTGTTCTTCAAAACTAATCACGATTTCCTCAGCTTTCCTCAGCTTTCCTCTTTTCTTTTCTTTATTTTTTTTTTCCTTTTTGCTTTTTTTCTTTTTTCAGTTTTGAGATTTAGGCGCATTATGTTCACTTGAACAGACTTGTGCATGATCGCGACTGTATCATGCGACATCTAGCGGCAAAACCCAAGAAAAATGCGATGAGCCGAGACATCGTGAAGACGGGTCTTGGGAAGCAGCTATATAAAAACTATTACTCGCGCAACTTTTCTTGAACGATGACCTTGCTTGGTACCTTGCGATGACCTCTCGGTCACAATAAATAGATGAAGGCAAAAGCTCGCAGCGAGCACTGATGACAACATTCCAAACACATCTTCACTGGCGCGAAATATAAACAATTTTCTTTTGAAAACTTCTATTGGTTATTTTCTTCAAAAATGTAAAGAAATGACTGAAGAAGGTAAAGATCTATCACAGGAGATACCTCGAACTCCTGATAAAGTTAGAACGCTAATTATTGAGAAAGTTGCGAAGGCATGACTATTTTCCAGAGATTGACATTGCTTCATAAAATCTAGTGGCCGATTTCTTAACTAATACCACCACTCTACTCGCATTTCTGCAACCCATCGTTCAAGAAAAGTTGCGCGAGTAATACCAGTGACGGCTCGTGGTCATTCCTCCCCTCCTTTCTCTCATACACACACATATTCAAAGGCATTAATCACATGCATGCATACATATATACTCATTAATATAAATAATGACAAGTAAACACAGAGCATCTTATGAAGTGATGATAGCATGCTTTATTATGATCTTATGATAGCATGCTGAACGACATATTGATCAGTAGTGAAGGTTGCCCGCATTTCTTTTTATAAACATCTGTTTCGACTTCGCTGGGCAAGGACCCCTCCGAAATATTTACTACTAGAGTCAGATTACCGCGTATCTACTCAGCAATTGAATTAATGCCTTATTTTACGTGGCGAGACTCAGGCCATGAGGCCTGATCTTCCGTCTGACCACGCAAAGTTCGCTACGCGATAGAGTGTTTTCCATTAGCTCGCTGTATAAATTTAAGGCTAAAATTACAAGTTACCGAACACTTAAAACAATCTAGATAATTTGCCGTTTACACTGTGTGACGAAACACAACTCTGTTTCTTTATAGCAAATTTTTCGTCGCGTTTGACAGAAAAACGAACACTAACTTCGGGTTTTCAAAACGCATTAAAAAGTAGCCAACTACATACGTTTAGAAAATGCATTTGGATTTTCATTCATTCGAAATGGATTTGTAATTACAACTCTCTTCAAAATATAAGGGAATGTGCTTATAATATTAAATTAACACAATTCTCATGCAACACTGCACAGCAATGCATTCGCGTTTCGCGCGCCACTGAACTTTTTTATTAGAAGGGATGAGAGCTCTTTCCAGTGTAGAGATATTTCGCACTTCCTTCGTTCAATGTCACCCGTACTTCTCCTACAAACTTGTTCTAGCTAAGTGATATATCGTCGAGACCTGTCAAGGCACTCCAGATCGCCGCAGCGCAGAGTCAGTGGCGATTGCACACTTAGCCGAATGCCCTTTACGTCCGTAAAGCCACTGTTGTTCCCTCCTTCTTACCAGCCCCGTGGCAGCCTACGACGCGATCTACTCGTTCGCAATTCCCAAGTGTGCGCAGTCTGGCTTCCGCGAAGAGTACTGATATCAATCGCTGCTTCCGAACAGCGCGTGTTTCGTAATTCTATGTTTCGAAACGCTCTGAGAGGACTTTTATTCCCATCTTCATATAGATATTTAAGGGAAAATGTATCGAATTAATTTAGGTGTGCACATGACATTCTAGAAGAGAAACTCCTCCCCTCAAACTTCAAAACGCAAACTTCAAAAAGGGAGAGGTCACCATGTATACCGCGTGTTGAATTTTCTATTATTAATGATCCTTTTCTAGAAAATGGTTAACTAGAAAATTATATTTCGCACACTTAAAGGTATAGTCGTCATTATTTTGATATTTGTGGGTAGATTAAAAAATAATTAGTAATTTTCTTTCGATTATAACGTTTGCCTTAATTTTTTCAGCATTTTTGAACAAACATTTTCTAATTTTTTATTATTATTAAGGAATGTTTGTATAAAAAGCCAATATATTTGCCAGTATTATAACGAATGTACCTGTAAATTGTAGTAAAATTGTGACCAATAGTTTCTGAGAAAAGGTACATTAAGTACAAAATATGTACATTTTCGGCAAACACCATTTGTAAAAGGGCTGTACTTGCCACTGCTCTACTAGAACATTCCTTCATCGTAATCTGGATCATATTTTTCAGCGGAAAAGACTAATCTACCAACGTATGAACAAGACTGTTTCATCTACTCATTGACAAACCAACATGCGTTCATATTTACGCGGAAAAATAGCTATGCAGCGTCAAAAAGGGGGCGTGGCTTATGCGCACGATATTTAAGTAAGAATTAAATGGACTTCCAGGCGACCTAGAAGAAAACAAATATTGATATATTGAATTGAATTGAATTTGCCTTAATTTACGTGGCGAGATATGTTCGGAAAGAGCGAGGTTTGAATTATTTATTTTGCAAAAAACAATAGATCTTTGACTCATTTAATAGTACCCTCTGCCCTGAACCGATGGCCACAAGGCCCGGTCGCCACTGGTGGGCCATGGGCCCGTCAGAGGCTATTGTGTCAGTACCGTCGTAATTTAATTAAAGTCCAATCTTTTTTTTTAAATTTAAGGTCGCATCAACTACTAGGTCATTAGCGATCACTGTTGCGTGTAACGGTATGGTAACTATGAGGATGACACGAGATGATGATGATGATGATGATGATGATAGGGAGTAAAAGGAACACAATACAACCATGCCCGAGGCAAGACTCGAACCCGCGATCCTTCAGTCACGGCACTACTGCCTTAGCGATCTCGGTCATCCGGACCGGGCAATCCTTATTTGTTAGCGGCGTCTCTCACAAATCAATTCACCTGATTACCTTGATATTGACCTGAACCTTCGCCAATTGCACAGGGTACGTGCTTTAGGCTGACCTCGTCCAACATCACCTACATTACTGCAGTGTGTCTAGGTGGTGTTGCCGTGTCCCACATCGGAGTGGCATTGCGGGCGAGCTCAGGGTGAGTTTCTTCTGCAGCGATAATGAAGGGCGAATTCGCCGCGCAGAAATGGACCATTTGCATGCCCACGTCACTCAACAGAGGCCAGTCACCAACATTGGATATGATGATGGCAAGGGTCGATGAGTGATTTCTCCCTAACATGTAATCGCGGGTGTTTCTTGTCCGCTTCTGGCTGTCGCGCGACTCCGGAGCGTATGCGAGCTGTGCTTGGTCGTAATCATGGTCGTAATTGTACACGCGCAAGTTTTCTTGATATTCCACAGTGAGGGTTGCCGGGGGAGGAGGGCTCTGGCTACGTCACGGCTTAAAGGGCGTACCAACTGTGAGCATGAACTTAACTCGTCAAAGAGTCCACGTGAAATGCTCAGATTGTTTTGAAAGTACGAGATGGATGTTGGCAGCACTGTAAATTGTTACGTGCCGTTCCGAGTCGAACCTAAGTACCTCAACGTGCCGTGTGATTCAGCGCTTGGTGAGAAGTAGGGAGCTCGTGTATCAAGAAATCTTTCGCGAGTAGTGGAGTCGTACACGTTGCTGTAACACGCAACGACAAAACATGCTGAGTTCACAATACGGCAAGTGTCTTTCGGATGGCCGAGATCTTTAAGACAAAAGTGTCGCAGCGATCTCGACCTGAAGGAGTGCGGGTTCGAGACCCTCCTTGGGCTTGATTGTATTTGTGTTCGTCCTTTCACTCCCTGTCATTACCATGTCATGTCATCTTCATAGGTACCATAATGTTAATTTTATTAGTGGTCGCTAATGACCTAGATGTTGATGCGACCTTAAATAAAAAAATAAATAAAAACGGCAACCAGTGCAGACGTTAAGCATGGACTGGCCGGGCGATGACCCCACAAATGAAGAGGTCCGACGATGGTACTGATGGGGAAAAATGGCAAAAAAAAAACAGCCTGATATTTCACAAAATTTTCAATTAATTTTTAAGTTTAAATAGTTAATTATATTCATTACTTATAAAAGGTAGGACTATGGAATTAATCAAATGACGCTAACATTAAAATGGGTTATATTGAAATTCACGTTTATTATTTCGTTTTAAGATCGCTGAGGAAATTGTATTTGATCACTAAATACTATTACTTAAAACTAGTGGAATCTGGCAGACGTTATTCTGCCCTTCATCTCCCTCTTTCTCCTTCCCTCTCAGACACATTTAGTAGCAAATTTTGCACGTCTCTGAGCAGGTGGGGCAATATTGAAAAGCGCCGGACCAGCAAAATTGTAACAGAATGTTAAAGAACATCTTATCCTGTCGATTACGATGTGAGAAATTTTTCTTTGAGACCTTCCGGCTCAATATTTTAGTTTTAATGCCATAGAACGCTTCGTTTATGAGATATTTAACGAAATATAGTAAACAAATCTTGCAGTGTTTTGCGGGTTGCTTTTGACATGATTATTTAGTTGCTTTTTTCACGAATTTTCCCGATATTTTAATAGTTATTCTGCTATTCGGGGCGAAGATGAATCCAACAAATCATAGATAACAAAAATTGGTCTACCCGTTCTTGAATTATAAATGGTGTAACTAACCCAATTTTTTTTGTATCTTAAACGTAATTTTTGTTATTTGTTGAAATAAAAAAAAACTCACAGTTTCTTGAGATAACTTTCACATTTTTAATTTTTTCGGGATGGGGAGGCATCGATTAAGCATTGCCCCGGGCCCAAAATTGACGAGATCCGGCAAAAATAACTCAATCCGACGTCAGTTAATTCCGTGAGTGGTTCAGTAATTGCTTGAATGTATTCATGTCTACGTGAATGACGGCGTCGGTGGCCGAATTGTTTAACTACGCCTTGTCAAGTTACGGAAGTGAAGCAACTCGAGACATTTGAGGTTTTATGGTAAGTGGTTAAGAATTTTCTACTCTCAAAAATTCTACCTCTTTAAGTGGCTTTAAACCTGCTGAAGCCCTGAGATTGCTCATTCTAACCATCTGAATAAAGCATTATTAGTTTTACAAAATTAATTGAGTTACAACACTAAAATTAAATCTCGTTTCAATTTTAGAAATTAAAATGCTGCAAGTCTTAATATCGTGTCCCCCATTGTAATGTTTTATGTTTTCTAGTGAAATTCTAACTTACAGTAGGGCACTGACTTACAGGTTCTAAAATCTTATTTTATACACCAAAAGTAATTGTATATTTTACTATTTCTATTACATTCTTTGGAGCCTAAGGATTCACAGTCCAATTATTAGTTTTAACCTGGTCTCAATGTTGATAGTGACACATGGTATACCATTCCAGAAAAGAGGATGAAATAACTAAATTCATAAATGATATTTAAATAAATAAATATATTTATTTTTACAAATAAATAGTATCAAAACTCAATCTGTACAAATAATTTTCAAAAAATATCATTGATTTAATTTATAATACAAGAATAAAAATTAGAATTCTGAATTCAATACACAATCTCATTATATACAAATATCACAATACATCACGCAGCAAGAAATATATTTTACGTGCTCTTTCTCGATTTATTCCTAATATCTGTCGAATGTCAGGTACAGACTTGCATCTGGAAACACAAGAACAGGCACATTAACAGAAAAACATGATCATAAAATAAAATGAAAGGTAAGGAGAAGAAAAACAGAAAAAAAAAAGACTCTCAATAAAAATTAGGAGAAGGTTTTATATGTAAATTCAAATTGGTATCTTCATTAAATTATGTAATTTTTTATTGCCTTTTGCTTTCTTTTGTTTGCTGTTTTATTACAGGGGTCATTTATCCAAAAGGAGTTTCCAACAGGCATAACATTCAAATGGTTCACAAATATACGAGGGTGGGCACTCTTTTCTTGAAACAAATTTCCCTGACCTTGCCCAGTCCTCCAGATTTTTTTAAATATTTCACTGATAAAATTTGTAGAATATTTCACACTAACTAAAGAAAATATTAAAGCAAACCTGAAATTAATTTGTCAGGTCCCTGATTTCGCAATGATAAAATACAATTTAAAAAACTCAACGAATAGAAACTGAGCAAAAAATAATGCTGCACTATTTGTTTTTTCCATTCCACTACTACTATTTACCAACCAATTCCCATTACGTGAGAATTTTAGAGTTCCTTCCATGAAATTTTAAAAAAAATGTATTTTAGAATGTAAACCCACAATTTTAATTCTATATAAGGTAACATGAACTAAGAATCTTAGATTCAAGAGATGGAATATACCAATTCAAAAGTACCTGTTAATGAAATCCGCTATGGTTTTAAAACGACAGACGAGGTCAAATGCCATAGCAATGTTTACTCCTGGAAGGCCTTCAAAAAAGGAGACGACCTGCAATGGAGGAAGTGCTCTTTTGATGTTACAAGCAGCATTGGGCTCATGAATCACAAAATTCTTAACAGGCCATTAGAGTTCTCATAAGTAATACATTTTCTTTCTTAATGGGTAAAAATCCCAGACCTGATAGCTTGATAGCCTGAGATTTTTCATAGTGCCTATGAAATGGTGTTAAGATGTGCACTTAAATTTTAATAAAAAAATACCTTATTTTCTGAAAATCAAAAAATTACGAATACAAAAAACGATTTTCTGTTACATCACAGTAGAATGCACATTTAACGAACAGTAGAATGCACAATTAAAGCACATTTAACACTCATAGAATCAAAAATATTAAAAAATATTTAAGTCACACTTTGGGCAAAGAAAATAATAGTGAATATTTAACTGTTCTCATCAAAATATTTGTTCAATAATATATTTCATGACATCAGAATCTAAAGACATTTGCTTTATGCACATCGGTCAAAACTTTCATCATGGGGTTATAATGTACTCATCATCCACTAAGTGGAAAAAATGAAGGAAAAAAAAATCACACTTACTGCTGTACTGTCTTTAATAGATTTTGGTAAATTGATGCTATGACCACAAGAAAATTCACGGCAACATAAATTAGCCAGCATATCTGCTGTGGAAGCTATAAAAAAGAAAAAAATTCTCACATTAAACTTAGTTGTTACTTGCAACCCTTACAATAATTTCAGATTCCAACATAAAAATAAGAGCAAATGAATTTTCCACAGCATTTTTTCTTACAGCTTGAACACACACTTTTGCAATAAAATTAATTTCATGTAAGAATGTTCCACTTACTACCTTTCAAATTGTAAAAATTATGCTAAATTTCTGAAACGAGAAAGAATAAAAAACTGCAATGGGAGGACAAAACTCACAGATTATGTACAAAAAATCTATGTTAATAAAATGGAAGAGAGTCCGTGATTCCAATTGCTTTTTTTAAGAATTCATATAATTATTTACATAATAAGAACACCCATTCAACTATTTTTACCATTTTTGTTTGTTCGACTGAGTTTATCTTGGAAATGAATAAACAACTTCGATGGGGGTTTACTTGGGCATATTTATGACTACTTTTTTCAAACCATTATTTTCTATCATACAAGAATGTTTGTTTGTTAGACATAAATCTAGTGCTATTCTGATCTTAGTGAAATTTTGTACACTAAACCTTCAAATCATGAGAAAACAATCTACATAAGATTTTGTTAAAAATTGCCATTCTTCCTTTCTCGTTCCTTAATACAGAATATATACGGGCACTCTTTCAGTTTTTTCATGAATATCGAAAAAAGCTGGCTAGGAAATTCAGTAAAATGTTTTAAAAGTTTCTAAATGCCAATAAAATTTCCTCCTAAACGCATTTGAAATTCTAATTTATTTTTTTTATTTTTTTTATTTTTCTTCCCCAAAAACAATTCTTATATTACTAAGACACCAAAAGCAAAATTTTATAGGCGAGGGGTTTTCAAACCTTTTTCATCCCCAGTTCCCTTGTCCTAAACAAAACTTTCGGCAGCTCTCCACGTAACAAACATTGGTCTACTATAGATTACACAAAAATGAGTACATGATATAAAAAGCTATTTTATTTACCCATTCAAAATTGGTATTAAATTAACAAATAACACACATTATTAAACTTTTAATTTTGTGACAAAATTCTTCTAAAAATTAATAGGAAGGATGAGCTTGCTTCTTCATCAACAATTATTCAAATCTGGATTCAATAATTAAAACTTCGAACTGCAATTCTTTTTTGATGTTTAATTCCAATCTCAACCACACACAGGTTGGACACAACTCGCATGAATTCTTGGCTATCCAGGAGACGCAGCATCGTTGGCTGAGAGGCATCTCCTGAATAGCCAAGAATTTATGGACTCGAGCCGCGGAAGCTTACATGTGCACAGGTCACATGGGCAAGGGAACTCTTGATCTGCGTGGGTAGAATGATTAAGTATCCCTGGACGCGATGGGCGCTAGGGGTGTACATCGTGCCAATGGAGCCACAGAAGCTTACAGGTGAAGGACTCTCCACGTTCAATTAATTCATTATTAATTAGTAATACAGAGAGAAGAGGAGAGAGGGGAGAGAGAGTATTGAAGTAAATCAAATCTAAAGATTATTTTTAATAATTACTGCGACGCACCTACCACATGGCCACGATTTGAAAACCCCTGCTACAGGCCAAATTGTTTAAATATATGATGGAATGGAGTGAAAAAGGTTCTTAAAATAAAGTAAAGGAGTAGCCAAGGAGCTTTTTGGAATGAAATTTACAAAATTTAACAAAAATATTAATAACAATGTATAAGCATGAAACAAAAAAATGCACGTTCAAACCAAAATGTAAACAATATATGTTCAAACCTCACAAAATGCATCATATTACATTAATGCATGCACAGCAAAAATTTGGTTTATGTACAATATTGAAGAAGTTGAAAAAGAGTCATAGATCCACTTAAAATCATTGAAATTACTTAATATTTTTAATATAGCTCCTGGTTGCAATTAATTATAATACTAATGACACAAAAGCTAAAAATTAAGTAATTTAAATTTTGTGATATTTTTTAAAGTTTAAATAAAAGCTACTACTGACAACAACATAACTTGAATGTACAATGGACCCAAGAGAAATTTCCCAGAAACCATGGAGTGCAGACTTATATTTTCTCTGAAACAATGACTTAATGTATCTAATTAAATACATTTTTATTCAAAATTTAAGCATCAGAGAGTAATGTGAAGGATTTTAACAAGTTTATTTTTCTCTTAAGGTATGAAACATCTACAGGCTCTTTTATTAGTTCCTTGGGAAAATAAGAACAACACTATAATCTGGAAGGCATCCGTCCCAGTAAACCCGAATTATCAACGTTCTAGTGTACTTACCTTTCCTGTCTGAATACAAAATTCGAATTCCTATATTTCGAAGGCGAACGCTAAGATCAAGAAACCCCTTCTGGGTATTTTCACTTGGGCTGAGTTCTATTATAAAATAGGCTTGTTGAAAAAGAGATGTTAAATTTTTAGCCACATCCAATAATGGTGTAGTTTTGTTACCAGCAATATCTGGAAAAGCAAATAAATAAATTCTTCCAACAAACCAATACATAAACATATTTTAAAATATCTACAAAGCAACTTTTCACTTGGATGATCTTTTCACGAACACTCACTGTGAGGTTACTCAATTACGTTTTTGCAATATATTAGAATGCAAAATTCTCAACCAAAGATTTAAGAAAAACAAATTGGGGGGAAACGAAATGTTAATTCAATTATAACTTATTCTTTCTAGTGTTGCAAAATGAATCAGTACAATGAGAAATTGATTATTAGGTTGTTTCTCCCACACGATATATTATGTTCAATACTAACAATTTTTTGCAGAGAATCTATTTAGCCCTTCAGGACAATGACCGGGGTTTACGACTGGCAATTTGTGGTGGTTGAAGTGAAAGGCTTGGATTATGAGTCAGTGATTTGCCAGCTGGATGCAACTTGTTGCCAGTGCTTTTGGAATCATGAAAAGATTTGCAATAATTTTAGACAAAGAAAAGTATGTAACATTCATAAATGTAATAGAACACAATAATAAACTAGTGGTGCTACAGAATGGCACAGACTTTCCCTTAATTGTTTTCTATTTCCTTTGGTCTCGGCTAGCTATTCGATCTTGCCACATACTCTTGCCTGCTGCCATACATCACTGCCAAATAAATGTTTTGAAATTTTCTTAATTTTTTGGTTTACTAATAATATAATGGAAATATTATTTTAAGTATATAAAAGAACAGTAAAACCAAGTGCTAATTGGAAATTTTCTTTGAAAAATTTAAAGCATTAAGATAATGGCGCTTAAGCACTACAATATTTTCGAAATTTGAAACACTATTCTCAGAAAAATTTTGAGTTTTCAAAAAAACTTCATTAGAAGTAATTTGAAGCACATTAACCCACAAATACAATAGTGTTTACAAATTGCTGGAAATCAGCGCATTACCAGTGTGAGATATATTTAAAAAAAACAAAAACATTCATGTAATTAAAAAAAACAAAATCGAAATGAACTTTACGTCATATGAAAGAGTGCAATTAGAACTATCCGTTTGAAATGTTTTAAGAAAATATTCAGGCCGTTTTATAGAAACTGGCATTTAAATGTTTTAGAAATTGCGAAACTTTTAGCTAATTTTGACTGAAAACAGTTAGGTTTTCAAGAAGCTTTATGTGGCCTTATTTAAAGCACATGTTGTCATAAATATAATACTATGAGCAAATTGCTGGTAAAGTAAATATTATCGATCTGAGAGACAAGGAAAAAAATTACATTTTTGTAATTTTTGAATAAAACAAAAGAATAGCGCAATAGGGCGTTTATGTCATCTTATAGAGTGCATTTTGCACAATCCCTACCAAAAGAAAATAATTGGAGCAGCTTTTGAGAGGTTCAAAAAAAGTACATGATCTTAATGAAAGAAATTATGAATAACAAATTTTATTTGAAGAAAGAATATCTATCTTTAATTTTGTTGTTGTAGGGAGACCCTGAAAAAAATTTAAACTTGAATTTTTTGAAAAATTCAGAGTTAACCGTGAAAATTGGATCTATGCCACACTTATATGAACATTTTACTGTATTCTTACAAGAAATTTAAAGAAAATATTTGGAGAAAATTTTGAGAAAATTTAATGTTATGTATCCCCAAAAACTAATGAATGATTTTCAAAATTGCAGGGATTTTACTCAGGAAATATGGACAGAGGTTTCTTCAATTTGGAAAAAGTCCTTTGCATGGTTTAGGCGCTTATTTTATCACATACACCAGACGGACAGTTTTGAAAAAATTTTTTGGTATCAGGAGACTCAGTATCATTTTTAGTATCACTTTTATCAGTGTCAAGGGACCCCAAAACGTGTATTTCCATTGAAATCTTGAAAATGATTTTTCCCGCAGCATCACATACTTTCCCTATACTATGTATATTATTCCATATATGGGAAAGTAACAACGAATATTAATATATGCAAATTTGATTCATGAAACAAAATACAACACTGATGGTTTGTTTCATAAAATTCAACACGAGTCTATGCCTAATGAAACTACACAAGCAATGGGGAGTTAATTAAAAATAAAAATAATTTACTAATAAGTAGAAAACTCACCTTTCGCTGTTACTCGGACAACGCCCACATATGGGCTCACAACATAGTGTGCTGTTTGGACGGAATGGACGTGAACAACTATATTGTGACGTGCCTTCAAGGAAGTAATAATCTCGGGTGCAGACACTACCTGCCTTGATGCTGTGATTACCACCAACTTTCCTTGACCACAGGATGCATCCTAAAAGGGCATGAATAATAAATCGAAGAATTCATTGAAAATAAAGCCATGCAGTCACTGACGTCAGTCGTAAGTGTTACCATCAAACTTTCACCATTCAACATCAAAAAATCTATTAAGGAAAATAAATGCTTGGCAATTATAAGCCTCCGATTATTTATAAAACCGTTCTCAATATATACAATCTGTGGTAGCATTCAATAAAAATGCCATTAGAGAACTACAATAAGGTCCACTGGCTGTCAGAGGTGGGGAGGGGGGAAAAGAAAATATTTTTAGGGGTCTGCAAAAAAGAAAACTTTTAATGATTTTCTCCTTTAATTATTTAGTATGAGCATTACTGTTGAAATACAGGTTTTACTGCTTCTGCAGATGGAGTTCACAAGTTACCATTGCAGGACGCCAAGAACTAAATACGTATATTCTATATTTTTTCATGTTTTGCTCATTATTTCAATTAAAAAATGTATTTAAGCGTTTGAATAAGACCTTAAAACCAATTTTTTTTAAATCGCAGCAGAAATAAAGGCTAAACACTTGATCCTCATTTATTTGACAGATCCTCAAAACTTTTATCTGTAATTCCATTAAAAGAACAGAAAAGCAGTAAAAGTGATTCTGCAGATTTGCACAATTGAAAATGAAACAATTATTAGTCTCTTTGCACAATACAATTTTAATACACTACCTGTCTGGCCATGTCAAGAGTTTCTAAGTGGTTTCCAGAAGCACTTCTGTTTTCTTCCATTCCTGCACAGGAAAAGGTGTACGTATTAATTAACCACAAGAGAGCCCTTTTTAGTAACCAAACAAATCCAGAACAAATAACTAAAATTTAGAGATGTTCTTCACTTATTGGGACCTAATTCAGATTAACTCAATTAGATTCAGACTTCAGATTAACAGAATTGTAGTTTATTCACAAAATATATTTCGATCGACTTTAATAAAAGCAACAGTTTAAAAAAATCAAATCTCGTTATTAATAAATAACTAGCTAGACCCGTTCGAATATTCAGAATTTTGAAAATCATTTTAAAACTGAAAAGACACATTAGATTCTACAATCAAACAGCCAGTCCATGAACTGTATGTTACAGCATTATACACCTAGTATTTTGTGTAAACATTCTAATAATGCTACGCACAGAGATTAAATTTCACAAAGAATCAACTAGTCATTTTACTTAAGAATATTAATTCTTTTTCTATTCCTTCAATTGAATCTATCATTTTAGAGAAGTCACATGTCAATTTTTGACGAAACAAGTTAGAGACGGATTGAAAATAAAAATCGTGCTCTTTGCCAACAAATTAGAAAAGCTGTTCATGATCACCAGGGATCAAATTGTGATGACCTATAAAAGGTCTTAAACATACAAGTAAAATGACAATTTTTTTTTTTAAATACTCGAAAGTTTGTATGAAAATGCCTACTTCTTCAATGAATTTTACAACTTTAAATAATGTTTTTGTTCAAAGTTTTTGTTTATATTTAAGATGAAGTCTTTATTTAAGGACAAAATGTAATCCTTAGGTCCGGAGCAAAACCAACTTTGTGTTGAAATCACAGTACATCCTGGTCTCCACAAAAAACAGTGACCCAGATTTCAAGAACCGACTTCATGAAGTCTGGGTCACTATTTCAGGAATCCAGGAGGTCCTGCGAGACTTCAACACAAAGTTGCTTTTGCTGCGCCATGCAATGAAAAAACAACGAAAGTGTTACACACTACGTCACTCAAATGCTGCTTGCCAGACACTACAGAGACATAGGAAAAAAAATTAAAAACCTGCCAAGAAAGTTCAATGTCAGCTCGTGTAAGCATAATTAACACAAATCCATCAGGTTTTCAAAAATAATAAAAATTAGGTCAGATACTTTTATAACAGACCTCGTATATTGTGCCCAATCACAGAGCAACGGAATTTTATACTGCTATGAAAAAATGCAGACACAAGTAAACAAGATAATAATTTAATATTTTCATTAAATGAATAGTATAAAGTATAAACAAATATGCAGTGTTTGTGATAAATTTGGAGACAAATCGAATATTTTAAAAGGTATTTTACTACTTCAAAGAGAGAAAAATAATTTTCACATCCAAGTTCTATACCAGAACCGCAACCACATTATATATACTCTACGCTTTAATTTTTGGCATGAATTTTAAATACAATCCAATTTTTACCTTCCAAATGGCTAGCCACGCCAAATTTGACTTGCTTTTTAGCTGTTGCATGACTTTCTCTTTTGTCATTCGCCTTGTGCAAGAAGAAGTCCGTCAACAGAGTTTTCTTATCAGCATTGTTTCCTGAGAATTTTAACTGCTTTCGCACTCCAATTGGCTCAGAAGTTTTCACAATAGTACCAAATTCAGAATCACAGATTGAACTTTTTGCTGCTTTTGCTCCTATAAATTTATTCAACTGTTTTGCTTGTTTATCCACGCATGGTAACCTCTTTGCAACAAATTCATTTGGACGAACGAAACAATCATCCATTACAAGACAGTCATCGTCATTCCAGTGTTTTGTTTTTGGATCACTACTTTTTAGTTCACTCTCAGAAACAAATTTTCTTTTGTTGGAACTCTTTTTGATATCAGGACTGGAACTAGCAATTTCTTTCTCTGCAAAATTAATTACACTTCCTTTAACATAAGTACTAAAAATATTGTTACACAGTTGTGAACATGGTTTAAAATATGTGTATTACCTTCGTCCTGAAGAACGTCACCATTGTTCGGTGAGCCTGAAAAAATTTGAGTGGGAGGAATATTTCTTAATTCATCCATGTCCTCATTGCTTGAAGAAGACTCAACCCGAATTCTTTTTCTCCCCTTTTGTTTTTTGGGTTCAGCGGTTTTCCTTTTAGTTTTCTTTTTCAGAACAGCTTCAATGATGTCCAAAGTGTCTTCTTCATAGCCGTCTGATTCTTCACTGTTTGTGCTGACACAAAAAGAATCCTAAAAACAATGAAATATAAAAGTAGATGATATATTTACTCTTGGCCTAAATCACATTAATTCAATCAAACCCCTCTACTAATGCACAAATAACAGTTGGGTACTATTTGCTTATTCTAATTATTAATGATAATATAAAAGAAATTAGTTACATGAATAATATGATACACTATTTCTTTTGTTTTCTTTATTAGTAGTTATGTAATATGTTGTAAAGGCACTAAAAACTTGCATTTTAAGTACCTAAAATGGCACTAAAAAACACAAACTCAGTGTACGAGTGTGTTAGCATGTGCTTGTGCATATAAGAGCACCCATACATGTGTATGTGTGTGTGTTTTAGAGCATGTGTGCGTGCATATGTGGAAAGAGACTAATGTTTCAATGCAACTGGATATATTTTCTATTACATTTGTATTTAAAACTATGTAACATGAGAGAATATTAATGAAATTATAACTATGTTGGGCAAGACAAATGAATAATATGATTTTTCTTTAAGCTTTATACTTAGTATTGCAGTGAATAATTTCATACTTTCTGAGGAGCGGAAGATACACACCCAGTAGTTCATCAACACGCACCCAAGACTCACCCCTTAACGACTTTTTATTTGAGTAAAGAAGTACTTTCTGATGCCATAAAGGAAGTATTTAGCTCCAAAGATAGATAATGTGTAATGTAAATTCACATGACATATTGAGCCTAGACAAGAAAATAGAGGTTCACTATCAGCAGATAGCTAATGCTATTTATTACACTGAAAATGATTTAAACATAGAATTTAAACTAAGACTACACGGAGATTTACAAACAATTTTAGAATAAAACACATTTAAAAATATGAGCATGGATAAAAGGCATTAATGTCAAAAATGAAAGGAAATAAAGATTGGGAGGGGGAGAGGGGGGGGGGAAGCATGAAATTTCATAATTTGTGCATTTATACTAACTAATGTCTTATTATTACTATAATTATAACTAACCAATGTCTATTTATTACAATGTTATTTAACAAATTGTTTCTGACCATTGTAAGTAATTTATTTAACTCTGTACCTTCAAAAGTAATATGGGAAGCTAAACATAAAAAATTAAATATTTTACTTTATTATGGAGCATTAAATCTCTCTTAATCAAAACAAATTAATAAATATATATTAATTCAGAGTATTTTGCAACACTTTCTTCACAATCATTTGTGCCAGATGCTTACAGCTGATTCTAAAATTATCTAGTTTCATTTTTCTTCTCATTTTCCTTCCTTTTCTGCTATCCTCTTCTTTCCGCACTGGTTTCTCAAAAATTTGAAGACTTAAAAGATTACCCTCCAACAACAACAATTTCTTCAAATGCCATCAGTAATCCTGGGCATCAAGAAAAATCCAACACTTCTTACCTCTTCGTAAGATTCCTTTAATTCTTCTTCAGTGAGAGCTTGGGAATATACATTTCCTTGAAAATTCTGAACTTCTTTTATTTTGAACTGTCCATGTGCCTTCACTGGACTCCTGCAATAGAAATTTCACTGCTTCAAGGAGAACGAAATAAAGTAGAAGAAATGTAATTAAACTTGTAGCAAAATTCAAAAGTAAGAAAACCCTAATGAATAACATTTAAAACAGAATAATTAACAAAATATTTAGCCTGGTTGATACACTGAATTGCTTTTCAGACATCTTCAAATCTCACTTCATTACAAAACAATTTTCAAAAAGTTTTATCTCAATTAATCTCAAAATATAATCCATATGTCTATTCATAATCAAAAGAAGAAAACTATTGTTGAAATCGTAATTTTTAGAAAATCAATATTAAAAAAGCTTAATTTTAATACACACGTCACCTCTGATTTTAATTTTTTTTTATAACATTATTTATTTTATATTATTTTAATAATACATTTTGCACTTATTCGTCCATTCACATTTTGTAGGGTTGCCACACACATTTCCCTATTTCCCTGACTTATTTTGATTTTCCAATTAAAGAAAAACAGAGAATTCTAAAAGAAATGAAGAAAATATTAAATAACAAAGACTTTTGGTACTCAATACATAATTTGTCAGCTCTATAATTTTCATGAGTACAAAAACAAAATTAACAGTAATTGCTTAACAAATAAAAACTGTCAAAACATAATGTTGAACAAGGAAATCTAGTTTTATAATTTTCTCAAAAATGTTCCTGACTTCTGTAGATTTTATCAACCAATTCAACTATCTTATTTGCTGGCTTATAAAACCCACCAGTGTACAAGAAATCGTGAATTTAATTTTACACGAAATGACACACATGAATATTTGCTTTGCTAATCAAACGAAACAGCCTTATTATCAATAAATGTTAAATATATCTACTCAAAAAGCAAGGTAAAATAGAACTGTTTGATTTCACCAACAGAAATTTCCATTCCGCATCAGCAACAAAAATGAAAATTTTTCACATGATAAAATCACCAATTACTTAACACCTACATCGATTAGCTAAACCTGGATGAACAGTGTGGTGAAATTTAACTAATTTTCATAGCAATGAAATCACATTTACGTAGCAATGAAATCACATTTATTGTCACTGCGAAAGAAAGTTTTTTGTTGGTGTACTCCTACTGGTTAATGAGGCACTCTTCACTAGAATATTCAGAATATTTACTACCCTACAGACCTTTCTTTTTTAGGTACATTTTCGAGACTTTTTAAAGAATACTTCTAGTGCGTATCAGCAGCTGAAATGTTTCATGTACATGTCCCTTCACATGTACATCCAGGTTAAAAAACTTCAAGATCTGCTCAACATGTTGCTTCTGACCATTCCCTTGTCAAAGTGTAATAATAGTACAATATGAAAATTCTGATTCTGATTATTATTATGGTTATTATTAATATGTTTATTATTATCTAATGACTATTATGATGATGACGATGATAATGATTATTATTTTAATTCCTATTAGCGCAAGACAGCTCGGGGACCTTCCTTTACATGATTATTATCCTATTAATACACGTAAGGGTATTAATGTTTATACATTGTATTAATACCCATTACATTGAGTTTCATACAGTACTTTTATTACAACGTATGGTAACTTATATACACTGAATTATTTCGTGTCAGTTGACAAGCAGGTGGCTTTGGTTTACCATTGCTCTAGTCAAATAGTATCAAAGTGAAATTATGATCCAATTTATTTTAAATAATATTCCATGTCAAAAATTACTAATAAAAGAAATTAAAACTAAGAGACAATATATTATTAAATTCAATTTTAACATACACAATCAAAACGAAATTTTACTAGAACAATTCTCAATGATTAATTAAGTGTCAATACTTTGTTTGTTAAGTTGTCTGCGATTGGTCAAGAACCTGTCAAATGGCATAATTATTCAATGGGAGTAGAAAAAGCAAATTACCTCACTGAACGCAAATAGTGAGCCTGGATGTCCACCGAATCATTAACAGTTCTCTCCTCGTCATCCACAAAACTGTCATCCAGTTCATCCAATCCACTCGTATTCTCACCATCTGAAGAGTCGCGACGGTCCTCTCTGGATTCTTCAGCTTCATCCTCAATGAACAATCCACCAGCTCCAGGGAAGTCTAATCTCTGCATGCAGACAGACAGACAGACAAAACGATGTATTTATAAAACTGCAATTCAAAAACGCATGCCACGTCTTTGTAACGTTTATATTTTTATTTAAATTTGTGTATGTCTAAGAGCTATTTATGTAACATGGAAATTGATCACAAATTTATAGCTGAGGGGGAATTTGTTTTAAATTTTTTTTTTCTACACCATGATGAAATGATGCTATGGCAAAACTTGTTAAGAGATTCTTAAGAAAAAAAATAAATAAACATATTAACATTTAAATAGTTTTTAATTCACATTTGTTTCATTAGACATCACATTTTCATACAAACACCTATTTTAGATCTTTGTCGCAGACTTTACAAAATTCCATATTCACTAAGTTTTTCTCTACAACTGGCACTATCTGCTGAGACATTTCTTTCTGGCAAATGCCAGACACCTTGAAAGATGTTAGGTGGGAAAAATCATCAATTTATCACTCTGCACATTTACGATATGAATTTTTTGGGCCTTGAAAAATTTTGAATCTGGACTAGTTTGGTTCTTGTAAAACATCCCTTGAATTACGAACCCATTTCATTACAAACATATTAAGTAATAAAATCTTTAGCAACTACAAATGCCTATTTCAAGAATCGAGCCTAAACGTGCCTACTTGTCTTGTAAATTCATAAGAATGACTGTTTGATAGAATTAAAACTGAGGATAATAAACATGAGTGATCTTGGACAAAAAAAAATAGTTGTGAAGTTGAAATCTGTTCTAAATAAAAATCCGAAATCACCTTGATAGTGCTCTGAATCGAAAGAGAGAAAGACAATTAATGCAGTGTCTTTATTCCAACATTAAAATGTACATCAAATGCAATATAATTTTCTCCTAATAAAACACAGAGTGAAAAGAAGTCTTAATGAAATAGCATTGATCTATGATCATTTGCGGACTTGTGCCTCATGACGCTGTACTTCCACAATACTTGGACATTTTCTTGCAGAGTTGCATCCAACAATTTCCCAGAAAAGTTCTATAGCCACTTAAGTTAGGAACTTGCAAAGCCAAAATATCTATTGAGCTACTTATAATGTACACCTTACTTTGTATTTTAATTACAAGATTGAGGATTCATTAGAAACAAGTTTTACTGACATTTCATCTCCTTAGGCGCAAACAAAACTCTGGGATAAGCATGTAACAATAACATCTTTATATTATCTTATTTTACAGTGAGAAGTTCAATTCATAAAAATAAAATTCAGCTTGATTGCTGGAAAATTATGTTGCTATTAAGAAGCCTGATTATAGAGAATTATGATCATACCAATTAGAGCCTTTCTCTGACTACATTTTAATTGACAAACTGAATGCTCTATACTACTTTGCAAGATAAAACGATAACTTATGTATATGTGCCATTCCATATTTTTTAAGCTCGTTCGGTACAGGAAAGAAAAAAAACAGCAACAAAAACAAAAAATGTTATGAACTGATATTTATAAATTCACAAATATAATTAATACATATTACATCATGAACAGAATTACTGCTGCCAATATATGAAAAGTAAACAAATACTCACATTTTTATTGTTCTTCTTCCGTTTTGAGTCTTTCTTGTCATTCTTTTTGATATCCAATTGAATTTTCTCAGGTTTGGGAGTTGAAGAACTTATAACACTAAGCAAAGGCTTTTTTCTTTGAGAAGAAATAATAGGAGACAGCTGGGCTCTGGAAATATTTGTTATATCCTTTTCTGACTTATCTAATGATGCAGACATTTCAAAATCTTCTTCCGAAGATCCCAACCACTTCAAAATAGCTTCATCAACAAAATTTGATAAATCCCCTTGATCCTCCTTCCACTCTTCTGCAACATTATCGCTTTTTACTTCCTTTTCAGACACAATTTTATTGCAACCATCTTCTTCCAAAGGAATCATATTTGACACATGATTTTGCTTGATGAATTTTTTTTGTGATCCATTCCGTAAAATACTAGGAGATACACAATCAGTATCATCTTGAACATCTGTGATATCCAGAGATAAATCAGGGCTCAAATTCAGAAGTTGTGAAATGCCTATGTCAAAATTTGGTTCAATATCTTTATGATCAGCTACTGTAGATTCACTGTTTATTGGAATATTCATGTCAGTACCAAGATTACGCTCATGTTTATCTTCGTAGCTTAAGGGCAAACTTCGTTCCCTGACCAAATCTTTTAGATCACTCGAGAAATAACGGACTTCTTCATCTTCGTAGCTTAGGGGCAAACCTGGTTCCCTGCCCATTTCTTTTAGATCACTGGAGAAATAATGGTCTTGTTCATCTTTGTCACTTACAGGCAAGCCTGGTTCCTCGCCCTTTTCTTTTAGATCACTGGAGAAATAATGGTCATCATTTAAATAATTCCTAACTTTTCTTCTCTGCCCTTGAGTAACTTTAGGACTTTTATCTTGCTTACTCTCTTCACTCGAGTTTTCCCAGATGTCAGGATCCAGTAACTCGTCAAAATCTGCAAAACTTTCAGACTTCTTTACTACCTCTTGTTTTCTTCCACTGTTATAGTTTTCCCAAACATCAGGATTTAGCAAATCATCAAAATATCCTGAATCTGCCAAAGTCACATCTTCCCGAACTGCTTTGCTGTCTCCCTTTTCGAAGCCAACTAGGAAGTCAGATAGTCCAGAATTTTTAAACATTCTTGAAATTCTGCAACAGGAGATTATCCCCTCCTCCAACTCCTTCATTTTTGAAAGGATATGCTCAGACATAATGAAACTCTCTTGTAATATGTCAACCATATTTTCCTCAGTATGTTCTGTGGTTTGAATTGTTTCGAGAATAGGGTTATCAACAAAAACTTCACAATTGTCAGAAACAATAGCATTGTCTTGGGTCCACAGAGTTGTAAGTCTTTTCTGTTTAGCCTGCAATGAGATAATACACAAATAGTTAATGCTCTTAAAAGAATTGGAGAATATTCAGAAAGAATATTCACAAGGAACTGAAAGTAATCTAAGAAAATAGGAAGAAGCATGAAAGTGTTGAATGCAGCCAATCACCATCACCCCTATTTCTTCAATCAAGAGTAAAATACAGAAACGTCTCAACAAAGGCTGGCATAGATTTTTCCTATATTTTTAACCTTCATGCTATGTTTTAAATTTAATCACTGCTATGGTGAATGAGGTAGATCCAGATTGAAACAGTATCTTCAATATTTTTTTATGAATTTAATTATTTATATGAGATAAGTAGGAAGAATAATTATAGTAATTAGGAAATAAATATAACCTGAAAACTAGTTTTAAACAAGTTTTAGGTAGCTAAACAAATACAAAGAAGAACACGTGTAATTGTGGATTGTGTAAACTTATATATTTCAATTTCACATTCCAATTCTAGAGCAATTATGACCGGTTAAAGTCGAATTACTTCATTTTGCTTCAGAAATACAGTTAGGTTAAGATTCATTTTTTTCTAATTTAATGAATAATTTGAGATTCGAGATATTTACAAATGTTGTGGGTTGCCTACATTTTAACACAACCATTTCATGCTACTGCTTCATAATTATCCGACATTCCTGAAAGAAATACTCACTTAAGCTGACAGGGAGGCAGAGGGTTAGAACGCAAACAGATTTTAACATGCCTTATATCACAATAAACAAAATACATTCACTCTGAACAAAATTAGACAGTCATTTTACAATTCAGTATGATGGATTGTGCTACGATGTGATACCTCATTTATCATCATTTGACTTTCTGCTCTTTTTTTCTCTTATTTTCTACAACATTGTAATACCAATAGCTAAAAATGTGAAAAACCTGCCGTATGCCTTTTTTTATCCTTTGTTAAGAATGCATTTAGAATTCTTTAAATGCTTAATAAAGGATATGAAATAATTCCAAAATGGTATTTAAAAAAAATTGTCATACAACTTACTTTTCTGTTAACAAGCTCTGCAGCAGCATTTTTTCTCTTTCTTCGAGGCCAAAGAGAATTGATGTTTACTTGAGATGCCATATCTGTAAAGACAGAATCATATTGGAATCACAGTTTACAATTGGAAAAGTTACCAAAAAACCTAACCTAGCAACAAACACAAAATATTCCCTATAGTCTAATACAGTAGAAATAACAAAATATTTTGACACCGCAGCTTGAAATCTATCAACTGAAGTAATTGTGCACTGACCACATAAAACAGCAGTTTTCCCTTTCTTGTATACATAGCAGAGAGAAAATTACACAATGCCATAAAAAATTAACTAAACAACTTTGACAGACATATAATTTTGGGGAACTTTGCACAGAATTTGAAAGACAGCCTGTCCTACATCGACAAAATCAACACTACATAAATATTTCTTAATCCAATACATTCTTGAATAGAGCAATTTCACAAACTATTGTTTTTAAAATAACACTATTTTTCATGAAACTGAGTAAAAATGTGACAATTTTTTCAAAAAATGCAATTTTTTTCTTTTAAGTCTTAAAACTAAATGATACTACTGAATAATAGGATCTAGAACATTTTGCATTAAAATATGAATTTTCAAAAATTATACATACATGATTTTTTTGTCTTACTCATAGTTGCTATTAACATTATAAATGTATTTTATAGTTAAATGGATTTGTAATAGATGGGAAGGTTTCAAATAATCTCTATTGAAGTTTTGGAATCCAACAATAACAGAACAAAAAATAGTGCATTTTCAAAAACATTTGGTCCAATTTTTTTCATTTTTATCTCCAATATTTCTTTATAAATAAGTGTTTGCTCTAATATGATATTCAGAATACGTCATTCAATTAATTCTATGCGCTATGTCAAGGGGAACTTGACAATCAAGATTTTTGTTTTCTGCTCCGATGTCGAGTCCATTTGAACACAGCTTTTTTGGTCATTTGCCATTATATTTTGGGTTGTTGGAAGTTGCAGTAGTAAACAGTTATCAGTTGTAAAAGGATTGCCACACCAACAATATCAATATTCTTTCATACAAATCATTTCGTAGAAGTTTTTTCAGGGACTTGGTGGTGAAGAGCGAAGGGGAAGTCAGAAACGGGGCTGCCAATGATGAAGAACGCTTTAATAGTAAATTACGCAAATAAATTTCCAGGAACAAATTTCCAAGAAATAAGCACAAGGACTGTCCTTTGTGTTCAGAGAGAAAAAAGAAAGGAGGCAGGAAAGAAATTGTACTTTTCTGTGAAACACGTTCCAGGCAGCCAGCATTCCAACCAGAAGAAAGCTTCGAAAGATCATATCCAGAAAAATTAAAATTTTAAACATGTAAATCCTTAGAAAATAAATAAACATTCAATGAACTGAATATTTGTTTTTAATTAAACACATTAATGATAACCACTTCATCAATCATCAGTGCTTCATCATCATCAGTGCTTCAAAGCCAACGTACAGAATTCATAAAGAGTTTTGGGGGACGGACAGCACATAGCATCCAGAGCGCAAAGGGTTAAATCAGGGATTCCCAATCTTTTCCTTGTGTCAGCCTCTTTTGAAAGAATTATTTGCTTCAACAACCCCCTGGCATTTTCTCTATAATACAGCAAACAATATAACCGCAATACAAAGAATTGAACTTTAACAAACTGATAATAATTCCGTATACTAATATTTCTATTTCCAATAATAATTGAAGGCATTTCCACTTCTAAGTAGATTATATTCTAAACTTCATTTTGTGCAATGGTTACAAAAAGTAGTCTATGTTGAGCATGTTTTATGAATTGGCCATTAAGTTTGAAGAGTATGAATTGTAGAGAATATTTTCTTGGGCAATAAAGTAATGTTGTGAATTCATAGTTACAATTTTCTGGAATTGCAAAACATGTCTACAAAAAATGTAATTTATTATTATATGTTTTGTAGTGTCATGTCAGAAAACATTTATCAACTTTATTCATTTTTTTTTAGATCGTTGAGAATTTTATTTGATATCAATCAGTCAATCATTTAACTTTTCTTCTTGTTCTAGAGCATCAGTAACATTCAAACCTTATGAACCACTAAAACAAATATTTTAAAAAGATAAATACATTTTTTAATTAATGATCAGAAAACTAGGGCTTTTATGAAATGCACCTATTTAATAAAATTAATTATAAATGCAATAGTAAAACCAAAACTACTACTCTATTTTCTTAAAAATATTAAATGGAATTTGAACTGAAACCAAATGACTAAAGTTAGGTTAATTATTACAAAATAATTTACAGTGTTTCAATAAAATACTAGTTTCCAATATCAATACTTAAAATACTAGGTTCTAAAAATATTTTTTTGTTTTATAATTAATATAAAAAAAGTGTAAATCCTTTAGGATTTTATCTGCAGCCCAACATGTTCTTATGGGCCATTAGTGATTTGACGACCACTGGTATGTAATCACCAGCCCAGAGTACAACAATCCTCAATAAAAGATGGGGGAACTCACTTGCAGTCTGTGTGAGGGGTACATCACAACGTCGTCTCGCTGCAAACTCTAGCAGCTCTTGCAAGTCTTTCGCTATAGTAGATCGTGACACAAGCTCTGTCGCATTGTCACAAAGCAACCAATCTACATCTGGACACAAATTTTGTGGATCCGCAGAATTATATTTCAGCAATTCATCTGCAACATGAATGTTCAGAAAATGATAACAAAACTATCAAATTATTTATTTATGTATCTATTTTTCCATCAAATCTACAAAAATCCTCTTTTTTTTTTCTTTTCAAAATGCAACTATGTGACCATAACTGTAAAGAAGCAAGCATTCATATGAATTACAAAAGTATGAATGGGTTTGATGTTCATGTTATATATACACATATGCATGCACTCCCACACACATACAGAACAATTTCTTTATATACCAAGAATATTAAAAACTTCTGTTCAATAATGCAATATGTGAATAACAAACATGTAATAGCAGGCAGCAAATCCTTCTTGGAGACTTGTCACATGACATCTGCTGTTTTGTAAATAGTAATGACACACTGAGTATGAAAATTCAGAGTAAATAGTGACGAGACACTGACTAAAAGAATTCAGTCTGTATGTGCACTATGAGAATAGGCAGAAAAACACAACCAAATATTTGTAGGTTTCAGGTGAATTCAAAACTCTTGCATTGTTTTTTTGTTGTTGTTTTTTCCCAGTTTCTGGGTACCTCACAAAACCAAAGATATCTCTCATGGCCAGAGACTGCATAGGTTTCTTTCAAATTCCACACACATTGGAAATTAGTTATTAGATATTTTGAGATTTTTGGCAAGTTCCTGGGTATCTAATGAAACCACAGACACCTCTCACATGGCTGAAGGCTGCCCAGACTTCTTTCAATTTTTGGAAAATGAGAAATTCATAATATAGAGCTTTCGGATATTTTCCAAGTTTACTGCGAGTTTAACGAAACCATAGACATCTCTCAGATGGTTGGAGGCTGCATTGTTTTCTTTCAATTTCTGCTTATATGGAAAATTAATAAGATAGATATAATATGTTTTGAAGTTGGCATAAATAAGTAGGAAATATAAAAACAGTCACTGTTTGCTTTGGACAAGATTCCTTTTCTGATCCAAAGAAATTCACATGATTTGCAACATTATTAAAGCTTCAGTGTAAAATAAAATATTAAACCACCCCAAAACAAAAATTCTCTACAAATAAATCTGATGAACCCCTTGCAATTAATTAACCATTTTATTATGCTTATTTTTTGATTCTAGATGCTGAATGCTCTCAGATGGTTCGTTGGTGAGCGTGCTTGCTTCCCACAGCGCAACCTTGGGTTCAATTCTCAGCCGAGGTAAATTATAACTGTGCTTTCTTATGACATATGTCCCAGTATCTATTGCTGTGTGACGATGAGAAAGCCCACCCTAAGCCCAAGAAGACCAGTATATTCAATGAAGAGATGTCTTCATGCTAACCACACAAACCCTTTATCTTATGGCCAAGAGGCTGGGTCACCGCTGGTCAGCCAAGGCTCATAGCAAGCGAGAACAGATACTTAATGAAAGACAACGTAATCCAAATACAAACTGAAAATGGTATTTTGGGAAGGAAATTCCTATTAAATTTTGATCCAATGAGTATTATGCTTGGTTTTGTACACATGTTGTAAATGTACAACATGGCATGGACAACTTTACTTCCCAAAACTAGAATTAACCCTCATGAACAAATCACCCCTCATTTAAAATTTTTAATAATTCACTGAGGCTTACCATCCCATTTCAACGAAATGAAACTAGATCTCTATTAGGATTATGTTTAATTATTAAACTCATAACAGGAATTTTCTTACAGGATATATTTACACGGCTGATATTAATATAGCATTTAATGGAGTCAAACATATCCCTTCCTTTTACCTTTGAACGAATACTCACCTGCATTAAATGAGTGCAAATACTTGGTTTCAGGTAACATATCCGGAGGTAGGTCCAAATCTGTTTCTTCCACTATGAAATTCTTACTAATGCCTGTGAAACAAATGTACATGAAACCATGTAAAGTGGGAGCTTTAATTACAAAAACTTAACAAGCAATTGCACTGACCATTTTCTTTGGAAGCATTACTTTTCTTACTCATCAACATTTTTCTCACATCTCTATCTCGACTGATTTTGGGCATACTCATGAACATCTTATAACACTCAGGTTGAAAGTCTGAAACACAGTACACATAATGGAATTCAAGTTTCATTGAACACACAAGTCAAAATGCAGACATAATATTGCAAAAACAGAAAATCATAGCTAGGGGAATAGCCAAAGATTAAGTCACTTGAGGCATATTATGTATTATTAATTATAATTAAAAAGAGTAACAACAGCAATAAATAGAAATAATAATTGAACAAGTAAAGATATTTAATTACCTAGTGAACATATTCGTACAAAAACAAGGGACTAAGGGGAAAAAATCAAAAAAAATTAACAGAACATGACAATAAAATAAATACTTTGGAAACAATTAGAACACAGAGGTAAAGCAAAGGAAATTCAGAATAACATAAAAGACTGTATTGATGAATGGAACAGAAATCTGGCCCTTGAGAGCTTCACAGATTAGAAGCTGCGCTCACATTGGGAACTTTAAAATATCTGGCGAGAATAACAAAAGTAAACAAATGTACAATGAAGTGAACAGAAAACGACTGACTGAGACTCAACAACATATGTGAAGATACAGAGGAATTCCGTGGAAAATTGTTGAAATGCACAAAAAGAAAACAAGAGAAAGGAAAAAACCAAAAAGGGAAGAAAGAAAAAGAAGAAAAAAAAGAAACGAACCAAAAAATTCGAACATTATGAGCGCAACTCATGTAGCAACATGCTACTACATTAATTCATTGATTTATATAATGTTTATTTCACTGTCACTTTCCATTACGAAAAATTAAGAATTCATGAAAGCAAAATACTACCAGCATCCAACTCGCAAAAACCTTGCATTATTGTTGCGACAGTAAATAGCCTTGAATTTCAATTTTAAGTTGCAGAAATTAAAAAAACCCTCTTCTTAACAGAACTGTTTGCCACAATACTTTCTCAGTGAACTTTATGAATATTCATGATAAATAAAGTAGTTGTTAATATGATAAAGCTTGAATATTATACAAAAATTTACAAATAATGCATTACGATGGTGCCAAATTGATTTTTGAACTGGAAACAAGCAAACTATAATTTAAAATTGAAGTTTTAAGTGAATAAATAATGAAAGTTCAAGTCAGAAACCTAGAATATAAATGTACATGGTATTGCTCTCAGGTGTACAGTGAATATGATATAGCTTCTTGGTGTTTACAAAGCAATTTTAGATCAAAATAACATGAAATTATTTTTTTATTCAATTTTTCTTTTATTTATACAAGTATTTGACTTAACCCCGATCCGGTGGCCGAGATCGCTAAGGCAGTAGTGCCGTAGCGATCTTGTACTGAAAGATCGCGGGTTCGAGTCCCGCCTCGGGCATGGTTGTATTGTGTTCGTCCTTTCACCCCCTATCATCCATCATCCTCCATCTCTCATTATCACCTTTCTGAATAATATTCAGAATTGTAACTCGAGGATTTATCCTCACCTCAAGGTGAAAACCTTCGACAGTTGACCATGAACAGTAAAAAGTGAAGTGGAATGACTCAAGTGGTCCAATGTGGCCAATCAAGTTAATAACAATAATAATAATAATAATAATAATAATAATAATAATAATAATAACAATAATAATAATTTGACTTAACATGAGAAAAACTACGAGAACAGAATGAATTTCAATTGTTAAATGATGATCCATAAATCTGGAAAGGGCATTGATATCCGTTTACTTTTCTAAGTCTGTTTCCTTTCAATTGTATTGTCTGAGACAGGTTAGAATGTGTGGTATTCCCGAATTCCAGATATAGCTTTTCCCCCTCTTTCAACAAGGAATGCTTTAGCAACTTCTATTGCATTCACGTTGATAAGAGTATCAACTGTTTTAAACATATCCTTTGAGTACAGCTCAAAATCAATTTTTCGACAATGTGTCCCCTTATGAGGAATAGTGTTGGTAAAAGTGATTCATAGAGCTAGAATATTGATGACCAAAAATATTATGCATTTGTGACTTAAAACAACTAGGAGGGGCAATTGCAACAAGTATGTGAAACAAGTTGAGAAAAAAAGAGAAAAAAGAGAAGAGGAAAAAAGAAAAAAACAACTAAAAGAATAAAGGATCAGAAAACATTACAAAAGAAATTGAAAGACCAAAGGAAGACATTGTTCATGAAAAAAATAATTTAAAAAAATTGTACATCAACGATATCCTAAACCTACCTGTTAATAACATATAATAATTATTATTTATTTAATATGGCAGCAGCCAAGACGATGTTACATACCATTGAAGTAATACATTTACATATTCTTATTTATTTTCAACATATTTAATTATTAATATTAATGTTAATTGTAAGTTTAAATATTTCCGGTTTTTCAATAATTTATGATGCAAAGGAAAAAATAGCATTTTAGTGAGAAAAATAGTTCCCTAGTCAACATTAGAACCCCAGGGGATAAATTCTCTGGAGCAACATACATTATTTCACTCACAACAAGAAAACATAAGCAAGAAAGTTTTTAAGAATTCACTTTCATACCTGATGGTACCATTCGGGGACTCTTGTACAAAAACTGCATTAGCTGTTTACTATTTACTAGTCCACTGTTCATTGATTTCCTGTTGGTTAAACTTTGGTGATATTTCTGTACAGGAAAATATAACGTTGATTATTCAATTTTTGCACAAATAACTTTGCATAGTTTTGTACATTAAATAATTACTCAGAGAATAACTATCTACCCAGCAACTATGGTGAACATTTTTCACTCATGAGCCATTGCAAAGCAATTCAATTTCTGATGATTTTTTTAACCACTTAATGCAGGTTTCACTGACTGAAGAAAAATGTTCACTCAGGAGAGGTGTCCACAGAGGTGACAAAGCAGACATTTTCAGACGGACTTAGAAAAACTGTTTAGCATGACTTGTGAATAAACAATTTTCTCTTTAGTTGCTCAGTAGATTGTTATTGCACTGAAATGGTGTTCGCACATGGAAAGTGTCCATTTAGAGAAGTTTCACAATTCTTACCTTATTTTCTTTTCCTTCAGTTAGCAACATAACAATCCTTCCTTGCCTTTTTCTACCAGTTCGCCCCATTCTTTGAACAAGACGAATCGGAGAAGCGTGTGCGTCATAACAAACTATCAGATCCACTTCACCAATATCCAACCCTTCTTCTCCTATTGATGTTGAAATAAGAGTATTGTAACCACCTCTACGAAATCTTTCCATAATCTGAGTAGAGGGGAAAAAAATCACAAATGAGGAAATGAAGGCCAGATATCCTATGTTTTACTTCTCACAGACATAAATAAATGTTTCTCAAAACCTTCATCATACTGCTCTGTTCTGAAACACACCCTTCTGCTCTGAATAAATGAAGATAATATGGAACTTTTCTGGATTCAGAAAAAAAAACAACAAATTTTCACTAGTTTAAGCCCTCCATGACTAAATTGAACTATTAATTAAGTCTCCTGATCAGAATTACATGTTTCTGGGTTTGTAGGCCATGGTCTAATGGAGACTGGTCAATATGTTTCGCCTGTAACTGTTTCCTTGGCAGCACCGCACTGACTGACTTCATATAGACCAGTCACCGTTAGACCATGGCCTTCAAACCCAGAAACGTCTAATTATGTAGAAACTGGCCATGAAAGCCTACATTGTATCATGTTTTAGTTGACAAATTTTGATCACGGATACTCAGCAGATTCTCTATTAAAAAAATTAACAAAACTCTTAACTCTTATTGCAAGTTGAACATTTAAAAGACACAAAACACATTTGAAATCAAAGAAGATCCAACTTCCCCTATTTGCACATCAGTAACAAACAATGTAACTGACAACGATAGGTAGTAACGTAATGCACTAAAATATATATTAGCAGCATTCATTCTTACCTGAAGTTGCTGTTTTTGTGACAACCCCTTGTTGGACTTGCCAGTGGATTGTCCCACAAAGCTCATGACCTTCACCAACGGTTTCAAGCGAGCCAAAAGATGACACACTTCCACAACCGTGTCTCGGTACTAAAGAAAAAAGAAACACAAAAATGAAACTTCATTTAGAAAGCAAAGATTTGGACCTCGAGGCTTGCTACGGCCCGTACGGATCTCGAGGCTTGTCCGGGCAGGCATCGCCCTTTTCCTTCTCCGCCAATCATCGGACACTCGCCCTCCTCCTATTGACCGCCAACGCGCCCAGTCGGCCCACGCGCCTTTCCTATAAGATGAGACATGCTCAACCTCTTGGCAGCAGTATAGATCTGAAGAAGGCCACAGCAAGATGGTCAAAACGTCAGTACAATTGACCAAGACACAGCTCATCCTGGAGAGCCAAGAATGCATTGACTCTGGCCGCGGAAGCCTACCAACGCAGAGAAGGTAATATTTGCTGATTGATTGTGGTTACATAAATTCACAAATAATATAGAGATTTTATTTGTGTTTGACTTTTACAGTGTTCTTATTTAAACTACCTCAAGAGAGAGGCAAAGGGATAGCAACAACTAGTGAGCAGCAACACAGCCACAGCTGAATTTACTAGTGTTCAAACGATCGTGCCTTTCACGTACGTATATGCTGTTAAGGGAACACAAGTTCAGAAGATTTGTAACAAGGATAATATCTAACTTGATAATAGTCTCAAACATTTCCCACCCTGAAACATTCTTATTTTTCCCAGATCAATGAAATTTATTGAATTTTCCCTGTTTACATAGTTTTCCAAGAAGTGTCCATCTTGTTTGTACACACACATTTTAAGAGTTTTTTAACTAGGACAAGAATTACTATACACTACTTTTTAAAGGAATACTACTAAAAAAAGCCTTTACCTGACAAAACACCATAACTCTAGTTTCCTCCCCTTTCAGTGCGTAGTTTTGGAAATGATTAATAACCACTTCACGTAATTTTTCCATTTTTGGATGGGAAAACAAAGGGGGAGCAGACTGCGTTTGAATCTGAAACATCATCAACAACTTATTAACTCTGAAATTTAAACAAGTTATTTATATTTATCAACAAAACTCTTCTTGTGAGCATTGTAGATTAACATCTTTCAGTAACACAGTTTCTGCATGGGAAGCAAATCATTATTATTTGCAGTTGATCCTCCTGAAATTGATACTTGCTGAAGAATCCATTGTATTGCCTAAGTATTGATATTTTCACAATGTCATATTAAACAGGAAAAGAAACAAATTGTATTCTTAGATTAAACGAATGTTATTTTATTTGCATTCCCACCCCTCTCATCCCGTCATGCCTACAATATCAACATCCCCTGACCGTAAACCATCGAAGTGATACAAAATCCTAAGTTTTGGTATGACCTACATCTAAAAAATCAAGCCAAAAGTTAGTTGTCAAACATTGTTACTTTCTGTTTTAAATTGCTTCTTCTTACAAAGAATGATCCCTAACTATGAATTTACATGAACTTGTACTTTTCCAACTTCTACCTGACACATAAATAAACAAAAATCAATTCAAACATCCATTTTCCAATATAAAAATTAAGTATCATAATGAGATTAGGAAAATTTGATCGTGAGTTTTGATGGAAATTATGCTTGGAGACATTGACTCTAAATAATGTCCTATAATTTCAAATCATCATTATTATTTGGGGTACAGTTCAGCTCATGTTTAAAAAAGTACTGAAGCAATTTTTCTAAAACGTTACATCACAGAAGAACTCACACTTTTCCCAAGATAGAAGTTGGATTTCAATTATGGCATTAGAAAATGAGGAGGATGTTAATATCTGAAAAATGTACATGAAAACATCTTTAATCTCGGTCCCAACAAATTAAAAATTGGAACACTGTTCTCTGAAATGTGTAATGCATGTGCACATACAATTTTTTCAGAATGTGTGGGGTTTTCAGAAAGATAATTTGTAATTGCATCTCCTAGTGTGATTGAGAAGGTCCCCCAAAACAACTAAATATTTCTGCTTACTGCTGCAATTGAAGTGTTGAGATCAGGCTCCTGTAAGTCAGTTTCTCCTAATCGATCTTCCAAAACGGATAGTAACTTTTCAAAATTTTTATTGCTTAACAAACGAGCTCTGGAGGCAGGATTTGTTTTATCTTCATCTTGAAGAAGACCTGCAACAAAAACTTCATGTACTCTGAAGAGAAGTTCATATCTACTGTAATTATAGTTCAACTGGCTGAACCTGTCCAATTACATTGTATGAAAGAATTGTAGAAATGTTACAATCGAGGCGTACACATGCACCATAAGAAAAATTGAAAAGTTGTAAATATTGTTAATTGTTGTTCAGCATTTATTCTCCAAAACTAATGAAATGATGGAGGTTTACAAATTCTGGAACAATACTGTTACTATTTACTGTGAGCACAGCTTTAAAAAAAAATGCCTGAAAATGTAATTGAAAAGTTTTATATTTACCAAGATCTGTAACGGACCAGCAAAATCTGCTTTTATTAAGTTTAATTAGCTATGTAAGACTGTAAAATTTCTCTATTCATTAACACCAAACTAATTTCATCTTATTTTTCGCACTACAGACATAGCAAAGAAGAGTTTTGAAACTTTCTGCAGGAAAATTGCTCCAATTTCTTACATGGAGGCAGATTGATAAGTCCGTGACTTAAACAGTTCACACACACTTAGCAGGTTCATTATTGGCACTGAAGTCTTACATCCATTTTACAAACCCTTGCATAATATTGTTGCTATCTGCTCGTTAGATCACGTTTGCTCCACAATCTCAAAGTTACCATGACCAACTGCGCTGAGCACAGCCTGACTGGCAGGCTCAGCATAGAGCCTGTCAGTGGCCAAATGTATTCCGTGCACCACGTGATACACTGATGGCACACCCAAAGCAGTCAAAGGGGTAAGAATCCACACAGTAATATTCTGCCTAAAAGAGATGCTTAACAACTTACATACTCAAAGCTTTACCTTTCAGATACCTGAATAGATTGCGCAATCCATGCTGATTTAGCAATTCGAGTCCATGGGCCAAACTCATGCATAAAAAAAAGTCTCCTTCTATTTGTCGAGCAATATTTTGAGTCACACCAGGAGGGGGATTTGATCGAAATTTATTTCGAGCCATCATCAACTGAAACAATTAGAAAAAGAGAGCACTATAATCTAGAGATTCAGCAATTGTTGAAGAACGAAATTGATAATGACTTAAACACCATTGCCCTAGGGTTAAAATCAAAATTACTGTTTTTTAAACACATTCAGGTCACACACAGGTTGGGACACTTCCCAGCATCACTTTTACCCTGAAGTAGATGCTGATAGGCATAGTTTGAAGGGCAATTTTTGTACCATGAACATGCTTTGTTTAGATGTTTTTTTGTGTGTGCCAACTGGATAAAAGACTATTATATTTAGTTTGAATAGAATCTCCCAGCTACAGCAATGTACAAAATTTAACACTTTCGATCCTAAGGACATCATTTTCATTTTACTGCTATGCCCTAGGAACATGTGATACATTCTTCTACATTTATCTCCTTTGAGAGGCTATAAATGTCTCTTGGACATTCAAAGATACCTAGAATATGGTTTTAATATCATTAAGATAGTTACAGGACAAACGCCAGTGTCCTTCAATTTTTTGCAAGTATTTGAAATTTTTTCTAGGCAACAATTAGATTTGCGGGCATTGTTGTGGTCATTCTGTCTTTTTTTGTACGCTTTGTAGTGTTCATGCTATTAGCGACATGTACAAATATTTAGAAGACGTAAGCATATGTCAAATTCACAGCGATTCTCAACTTTAAAAATTCAAGATTTTTTAAATAATGGATCAGAACTGGATTCTTCCTTCGATCATCGATTTTATTCCTGGATTGTTGAGCAATGGAAATGATATCGAAGAGTGATAATAATGCGAATGTTTCAACTGGTAAGTCATCTCAAATTCAAGAGTCTTCATTTCCTTTAGAATGTTTGAAATTGATAAACAATCTGAATTACCAGTGTTTGAGAAAGCCAGTGAATGACGACTCAACTGAAGAAGACTATTTTTCATTTTTTTATTACAGTATATTTCGGAAAATAAAGGATAAAATAAACAGATATGCAAATGGAACTATATCTCAACTTCAACAAAATATAATTATAGTGCATCAGTATCATTAACACATGAAGTTCACTGCGCTTCCCAAACATTTTGTAACATTGTTTCTTTCCGCAAAAATATAAAATTGATAAGATGTGTTTCTTTGAATTCCATTCCCACTACGATCTTATAATTAAATTAACACAAAATACATACAGAATTAAATAGAAAAAAACAATACTACAAGATTTTTTTAATTTCCAACTGAAGTGTATGATTTTTTGTTTTACAATGTTTTGAATAAGTTATATTGCTATTGTCAAAGGAGTTAACCATGTGACGTATCCCTCAGAATCAAATGTGTTGAGAAATCTATGATTTTAAATTTCTTTATCTGAGCTCACCCAAGTACTATTAAGAAAAATACCAGAAACTTACTGCATACTTAGATACATTCCTTGCATTAACATACACTAGTTTCCACTTCAAAAGAACATCCAGATAAGTTCCAATTATCTGAAAAATTGAAACAGAAAATAAGTCAATTCTTTGTGTTCTGAAACAAGTCAAATAAATAAAACTCTTCATTTCCAGACTATATCATAACATGGTACAGTAAATACTTTTTTAATTGGTGGTTTCAACCATTTCTTACCAACCATAAAAAGGGTAGAAATTATGCATGCTAGTGAAGATAAGTCAAAATTTTTTGCTGATGACATAAGTATATTCTTGTCAGATTTTAATGCAAAAGAAATTTGAAATTAAAATTAATGACATTAAACCAATCATGTGAATGGTTTGGCCAAAATAGGCCAGTAATAAACAAAGATAAAACTGTGGCAGTTTCTTTTCATCAATCCCAAGATATCAATTTTGAATTTCAACCTATAGAGATCCATAACAAAGACACACCTGGACATTATATCTACTTTTTCGGATACAAACGAAAATTTGTGAATTAACAGAATAAACCAAATAAAAAAAAAATATTTTGAATCAAGTATTTTAATAATTATTAATAAAATAAAACTAAGATATTATTGAAACTGAGCATACAATAAAATAATTTGCAGGTGTTATGTAACATAAGCTACTATAATAATAATAATGATAATGATAATGATAATGATAATGATAATGATAATGATAATGATAATGATAACAATAATAATATAATAATTAATTAATAATAATAATATTAATAATAATAATAATATTTTATAATAATAATAATATTAATAAATAATTAATAATATATTAATAATAATAATAATAATAATATAATAATAATATTATATATATATATATAATTAATAATAATATTATAATATTATTATTATTATTATTATATTAATAATAATAATATATATATATATATATATATATTAATAATAATATAATAATTTATTATTATTATTATTATATTATTATTATTATTATTATTATTATTATTATTATTATTATTATTATTATTATAATACTGTGCTAAGTCTAGTACATGAGTAACTAAAATGATCAAGAATTCACTTACTTGGCAAAAGGAATCTTCAATGAATTTGTGGAATCCCTCCAACCTCACTACAATTGTATCAACAGTTCGTTCATTTGTATATTGTGCAGTATCTGATGACTGCTCGTCTCTCACTTCCACATGTTCAATCAGTAGATTTTTTAATACCTGTCACAAAGAACAATAATAATCATAATTTAAAATTGCTATTGGTGTACGTGTTGCAATCTCAATTTTACTTCAAAAATTACACTGATCTACACGTTCTTTTCAAACAGATGCAAGTAACATTAATTAAGCTGGAAGGGGTACTACTTTTCTTCTCTCTCTCTCTCTCCTCATAACTGAATCGCTATCATTTCAAACTTCTAAACATCCACCACTCTGTCTGCAAATTTGTCATCCACCACTCTGAACTCTAAAAATGGTGTCAAGTTTTACAAAGCAGTTTTAAATACAAATCTCAATCAAATTTAAAACCATTTAAGCTTAAAAAGTTATTTAAATAACTAGTACTGATATTGAGTCTTTGGTGTACAAATGAGATGTTGGCATTTGAATTGAATTGAATTGAATTGAATTTGCCTTATTTTACGTGGCGAGACTCGGGCCATGAGGCCCGCTCTTCCGTCTGACCACGCAAATTTCGCTACGCTCCTTTCACCAACTAGGAGAGAAAGGAGGTATTTCTTGGGCGAGAAACAGGCGATTTGAATTTAGCTCAGAGGCGTCATTTAGGCTTGAGGATCTTTTACATGCAAGTAAATCTACGAACATGGGACAGCCGGCTTTACTTCCCCTCCGAAGGAAGGCGTACGAAGGATTTTTTCGCCCTTAAAAATCCACGGCTTTGATCGGGTTTGAACCCGCCAACTTGAGTACAACAGTCCAGTACGCTAACCGTTACACCATCGCCGCCGCCAAATTTATATTTAATTTATATTTACACCAAAGATGCTTTCGTATGAGGTGTGTACATTTTTTTTTTTTAGGATGAATTTATGGAAACATAGAAGTATATAATCATTGTCAAAATGTGAGGCTGCAGTCATACGGATTCATGTTGCCCCCAGTGTTGTTTACTTTGCAGTACTAAACTGTTTTTTATGGTCTTGCCTTCTTTGCGGTATGTTGACAATACAATCTACTTTGGCTTACACATACCACAAAGTAACACAATCAAATCAAGAAACATTGAAGATAAGTACTAGCTTTAATACGCGAGTGCTATTATATTGTTTGTAAGAATTTTCCCACAAAATACCATAATTTATTTGAGTTAATGTGTTCTTCAAACATGAGAATATGTTATTCATAACTACAAGTTACAAGGGATCAGATGCGAGATACAGAGGACCTTGCTATGAAAATTTCTTACAATGTAAAGGCACTTTAAATAGGAACTCCCAAAACACTGTCAACTGGTGGTCAAATACTGTCAGATAAAATACACACTGGTGAAGAAGATTTCCGATTTATTTATATACGCACAAACCGCAAAATATGACATGTGCATTGTATTCAACACAGCCTCGTGGTTTGGGGGCAAAGAATTGAACCAACCTGTTGAACTGCTTCCATGTCATTGCCAGGGGTAGCTGACAAAGCAAGAACTCTAAAATACTTGTTGAAAGGAAGGATAGCTTGAATTACTTGACAATAGGCATAGTTCTTAGTTGCCCTGTGAGCTTCGTCTATCACAATGCAGCGTATCTGCTGCACAGGACAAGTGCTACGCATCAAATCGCTCATGAGAGACTGTGGAGTCAGGAAAAATAAACGACACTTTTTCCAATGCACTTCTCGTTGATTAGGTGGCATCTGACCTGGAAAAAAAGAAAATTTTAACCTCCTTGTTTGACGAGTGATCTGTGAAAGACTAATCATTGGGCAATTAACTTAAATTTCAAAAAGGTTGAATTGAATTGAATTAATGCCTTATTTTATGTGGCGAAACACAGGCCATGATACCTGCTCTTCCGTCTGACCATGCAGATTTCGCTAGGCTCCTTTCACCAACTAACGGAGAAAGGAGGTATTTCTTGGACGATTTGAATTCAGCTCAGAGGCTACGTCATTTAGGCTCGAGGATCTTTTACGTGCAAGTAAATCTACTAACATGGGACAGCCAGCTTTACTTTCCCTCCGAAGGATCTTTTCGCCCTTAAAAATCCACAGCATCGATTGGGTTTGAACCCGCCAACTTGGGTACAACAGTCCGATACGCTAACCGTTACACCATCGCCGCCTGCAAATTTTAGTTTACCCCTGGTGGGAGGTAAAGTAACTCTCTTCAGATGGTTTATCAGTTTTTTAATTTATTTTTTTAATTTTAATTGATTTAAAAATGATCTCTATAAATTTTCAGTAACTTATAGTAACAGTAATGTTAAAATATAGTACAGTAAGCAATTATTTACTATAAGCACACAATATTAAACTGCACAATTCCTTTACTAACCTAACTCCATGTTTCCTAATATCTGATGTTCCTTATTTTTTATCCAAGACTCATTTTATACCTTAGGAAATACAGATTGACTCTCCCCCCCAGAAATTTACACTTATCATTGAATTACCTTTGTAATAAATTAAATGAATAACAAATGTAACATAGTGGACCATGTAGTTTTGATTCATGACTTACCTACAAGTCATAAAATATCATGATCGGATCATAAATTAAAATCTTTGATGTTTTTCATTTAAAACCTATTAGCTGAGACAATGTTGCCTTACTTTTACTTCATTGTAAGCATCCTCAGTGTGGTCAGCATATTACATGAATAAAAAAAAACTTAATATATTTAGCATTTTCAACAAATAATTTTATGTTTGTTCTACTCTCAACTATGTTCATTTATACACACAATTCGTTCATGCTCTCTCTGCAACTAATTAATGTAGAAATATGTTTCTGAATGATTGCACATACTTTTATGCATTTCCTTGTATTACTTATTATGTATTTTATAACTATGTAATTTTAGGGCTTACCAAATCAAGCCAAAATAGACCTACGCCAAATCAAATTCATTCTGAGCAATGAGGTTTCAATCTGATGTCCCTTGCTGGAGAGTAAAGAATAAATACTTTTGTAATAGTATCATTTCCTTTTCCAGCAACACTACTCACACAAAATATAATAATCAATATAATGAGTATGTTAATAAGATTATCTTAATTTTCATGAAAATGAGGCTGAGAATTAATTACACGTATTGTATTATTCAAGTTATATCTTGATATGAATATATAAGTATTAATAATTCACGGACTTAGCAATAAATAAATGAAATATATATGAGCAAAAACTGCTTCTCAATTGACCCAGTGGTAATTGTATAAAAATGACATTTTGAGAGTACGAACTAGAAGTTTTGCTGTCACTAACCTGTCATTTCTGCAGTGTCATTTTTTGGAATTCCCATTACTTTGTAACAAGAATCAATTTGTTGAGCCACAAGAGGTCTAGTTGGAGCTAAAAATAGCACCTTACCCTCTGGATACCAACGATAAAAGTTGTACATCACTACAGCGGCAATAAATGTTTTTCCCAGACCTGCAAGTAAGATAAAATCAGACGCAACATTCTACATAACTAGTTTACACACTTAAGACATTCAAACAATGAGAGTTCTATTAATTGCCATTGTCATGAAAAAATTCAAATTTTCTGATTACATATTGCATTTAGCATTTACAAAGCCAATTACTACCACTGAACTTCAAATAATATCTGCATTCAGTTAGCAACATCCAGAATTTTATCAGATGCCTTCAGTTGTAAAATAATTCATAAATGAAGAGATAGTTTCACTCTTTTACAGCACTCCCCATGCTCATGGGATGTGAAACATAAATTTTCATCAATATGAAAGTAGAAATAGAAACAAGTTACGTATTTATCCAATTTTCCAAGCAATTCCCAACTTATTTTCTTTAAATCGGTAAATACTCAATTTTCTGTCTTTTACAATGATTATGATCTGTATTTTATCAGGAATTTATCATTTTTGTAAGATATCAGAAGGCCTATTTGACAATTATTTTCATCTCAATGCAGTATTGAGTCCTAATGCACAAATATGAACTTCATGAGACGTACTTGCATATCAAGATTAGATGAACAAGTTTGAGATCATTCCAAACCAAATTTTCCCATATTGAAAATTATATTGTATGGTCAATATGCTTTTCTCTTGATGAGTTGTCTCACATTTCAGAGCATTGGGATATAACACCAACTATGTATTAATATCAACTTATCTAATAATTGTTTTCGCATTAACCCATTAGTGCCCTGTGATACCATATGGGATCAGAACAGAGTTGGATTTTATTATTAATTGCATTTGTTTTTCAACAACAATCCAATTCTAAGCAGTATTGAATCATTTTCATTAATCACTGCAGAAGGCCACACCAGTGTTGATTCCACAAAATTACTAATTACCTATCAAACTTGTTTTTTTCTGATGTGCTGTGGATTCAGATGTGGGATTGGCAATGGATGGGTGAAAGTAAATATTTCACACATTTATCAGGGGTAAAAAATTTGCAGTTTTAATTCATCAAAGTTGTCAAATTAACTTGGATGTCAAATACGCTCTTTTACCAAAAACGTGACCAGAATCATAAAACACTGCAAGGGAGGGTACAAGTTCAAGGTTACAATGCAGGGCAAAAAGTATGGATTGAGAGTGAATAGAGGGTGCTTCAGAGCAGCCAAGTTATTCCTTCCTCATTCCCGAGCACTCATGTTATCAGTGTACTCCAGATAAAATTTCTGAATATTTTTTTATGTAATGAAACAGTGGAATACACAGCAAGTGATTCTCAAAGGAACACAGTTTCTGAATCAAACCTATCCACCAATTATAAACTCTGACATAGAATATTCTTTTGGATGCTTTACTCCCATGTGTCACTAACTCAGCATTCTGTAAACAGATGGCTCAGACGCATCTTAGCCATAGTACAGTACTTGTGAAACCTGCAGGACAGCCTCCATTTTCAAGCCATATTTTACCAGCCTAAAGATATGACATACTGAATCATTTCGTCATCCCACCGAATAGACAAAGTTGTGCAAGCATAGATTTCTTCTCATTAGGGAGGAGAAGAAGAAAATGTAATGGACAGAGTGTTAAGCATTTTCAAAAATATTGTAATTATTCATATCATGCATTTCTACAACTGCTAAAATGAAACCATTTTAGACTCTGTGCTCCCATAAGTGCCTAGTAACACCACATGGTATCAGCAAGTATTTCAAAAATGAACAGCTTAATTTTCAAAATACTTTTTCATTGATGAGTTTAAAGGACTATTTACTTAAAGAAAAGTAAAATCCAGTACAAAATTGTAAAAAAATAATTCCTGCATTTACTAGGTTAAAGACAAATCGCTCAAGTACAGCAACAATGGCCTAATTCAAACTTTGGCAGAAATGAATTTCCATACCTGTTGGCAGACTAACTAGAGTGTTTTTGAAGAGGGCAGACTGCACAATGTTGAACTGATAGTCACGAATGGGGTAGTTGGTGGGATAAATCCAAGTTCGGCCTGCACCCTTGTCAAAGCCATTTTCATCCATTCCAACGAACTGTTGCTTCTCTGCTTTTGAAGTTTCCTCCTTCCTGTTCCAAACAAATCCAGATCCACATTGTTAAAGGTTTGTTCATTTTTAATCTAAGAAAAACTGTATCTACACAGATATGGCAGTCAACTTGGACCAAATACACATTCTCACTGTCATTACTAGATCTCAGAATTTTAAGCTCAAAATGTGATAATTTAGACACCTAAAATAGGTAACAAAATTATGAAATTAAGCACTGTTAGGCATGGAAAGTGATTTTTGCCACTATATTACTAAAGTATTATATATAAAAACATTTGTCGTTGAAAAGTTGTGTTTCTGGCATCAACATCAACATCAAAAAAATAGTATTTGGGTAATTTTTATTATTCAGGAAAGTCAAGTGCTTTACATTGAGTGATTACAAGCATATTAATCTTTCATTTCTTTCACACGTTTCATTTTCAACCAGTCAACAGCGCAGATGCATCGGGAATGGGTGCAATAGCCTAAGAAGTGCAAGTTGATTGGAGACAGGTGAGAAACTTCCTCTATATATTCACTAGCAGAACTCCTTATGTTTCATGTGTTGGGCGAGAGATGTAGGTGCCAGTCAATTGCATATTCAATCAGGGTACGCTCACGTTTCTGAAAATTCAGGAAAGTATTTGCACGGCAGTATAACAAATTTTAAACAGTGTGGAATTAAATTATGATAATTCTTCAAAATTACTTGTTTTTAGGTAAAATAATATTAAAATATGCATCAACCGCTGTTTTAGGACATTTTAGACACTATTAGATGCATTCTGTAGATCTATTTCTTCCTGATTCGTAAACATCTGCAAATATTTTCCACAATCTTCCAAAGAATAGGCATTTGTTCAAAAATCTGAGATCTAGTCATTACAAGAATCAAGGTCATCTTAATGGATTCATCATTTAATTTAAATATATAGGCATGTTGTTTTGTTTACCTTATGGAGGTTTCTCTGGATGGTCCAGGTTCATGTTCACGTTGGCGTTGCCTGGGTACCTCCACCTCTTGATAAAACCTTCAAAAGACCCAATATTAGTAGTCTCCCCTCCCCCAACTGTTTAGAAGTACCAAATCCAAAACACAAAATGCTCTAACACAGAGTACAGAGGAGCGCTCAGAGATACAGAGTGCATACACACAGGTACAGAGGAGCATGAACTGTGATATATCACGAGGTGCTTTACCGAGTAACTTGAATTTAAGAATACTTCCATCTCCTAGCAATGGTAATGATAATCTACACTAACAAATTGCATTTATTCACTCTTAAGGATAGATGTAAACTGCACCAAATTTGTTATTAAGTAAACATATTCCGTGTACATTTTGATTCCCGACACTACTGACTCAAATTTTTCTGGATGATTTCCAATATTATTCTAAATTGCTCAACCCATTTAGAATAGCCATCAACTTTGAGAAACAATCATCTCAAACAAAATTAATTTGTTTTCCTCCTTCCATAATTTTCCACAGTGTTTAAAAATTGTAAAAATTGACATTTTCTTTAGAGAAATAAAGGAAAGGAAATCAAAGGAAACAATTTAAGGGTTGTTCAACATGTCACTATTTAAATGATGTGAATATGTATTTACGATCATACAAAAAAAGTTAAAAATACAAAATTGTAGAACATTAACTGAATCCAATCTTAAGGAAATGAAATCAATGGTGGTACAGAATGGCAGACATTCTTACAAAAGTTTGCTTCCTAAACTCTTTCGTCTCAACTAAATTTTTGGTATCACCCCACTGTCTTCCCATATGCTACCTATCAGCAACTACAAAACATTTTTTTAACATCTCAATATTATGAACCCCTAATATTAGAATTGAAATATGACTTTAAAAATATTAAAAAGGGCGAGTGGTACCTGGCCCTTTATGCAAATTTTCATTGAAAAATAAGGAGCATTTCCAAAAATGAGCTCGTTTACACAAAGAAAACGTATCGAGAAACTTCATGAGAAATTGTTTGATGCACTTTTGCTCATAAATTCAGTATTTGGGAGATATTCCCCAAAAAATACATGTGTTATTTTGGAAAAATCAAAAGAATAAATCACAATGCATTTATATTGTTATTTAGTGCCTTGAGCACTGTCTGTACAAAAAAAAAGAAAAAAATCTGAATCAATTTTTGAGAAAATCCAGTTTTTAATATTGCCTACATGTCACACAGCTGAAGTAATGCATGAAAACTACTCATATTTTGGAATATTGGCTTCCAAACTGAGCCACATCCAGGGCAGCCAAGATTCCATAAAATACTGGCAGCGAAAGCCTACGCAATTGCTCATATCTTAAAAAAACTGTACACGACATCATTTAAAGATCCAATTTTGATGAACAAATTTAATTCATTAAAAAGATGCTGACAAAATTTTATTGCAATTCTTTCACAATTATCAAAAATTTAGAGTTCAACGAGAAATGGACCTGCCTCACTTTCATAAGTGTACTTTGTTATATTCGGGAGAGGGGCAGTTTTGGAGGAAAAAAATCGAAAATGTCTTCGAGACTTCATGAAAAGTAGCCCCATTTCAAATTCAGGGAATCGCAACATCAGCCAGATTAATCAGGGAAAGTCTTGCTTGAGTCACTGTGTTGTTCATGGACGGACTGACATTTTACCATTACACAATTTTTTGGTATCAAAAACTCACAAAATGTGGATTCAGACTTCACGTGTTAGAGTAAGTAATTTACTACATACAGGAATAAGAATTATCCACATTTTATGTCAGAAATGTACAATTTGAATTTTTCTGACAAAAACTGTCATTTTTACTGCAGTTACACAATAAATAAGAGAGAAAATAAAAATATTATTTAATGACTGAAAAACTTGCACATTTCTGTTATTTTAAACTTAAAGAATTATTTTTCCTGGCAATTGATAAGATTCCTTGACTTTTCCAGAAATTCTAAATTTCATGTTCCTGACAGGTGGCCACTCTAAATTTGTTTACCCTGCGAGGAATTGTGATTTTTTACAGCCCCTCCTTGCATATACGTCTTTATCAGTTTTGGATAAAAATTTTGGAAATCTTTAAAAAAAAAAAGCAATGAAGAAAATTAACTGCAAATTCCTTGCAATGTTAATTGTCCAGGTTCTGAGAAAATTGCTTGAATGTCATACATGAAAATATCTATCAATTTGTAACACTGTTTGAAAAACTAAAGACAATTTTTGAAAAAAAAATGTTGCTTCATTTTGAGATACTTGTGTACTACCACATTTTTGTAGCAATTTTTAAAGGGAAAAGAGAAAAAGGAGGGAGGGGGGCTCATATTCAAGAAATTATGTCATAATACAAGATGAAGTAAAAATATAATGTCAAACCTGATGCTTTCTTCGAGAGCATTAAGCAACAGCTGGTCTTCTCCTTGTTCTTCCAACAAATCGACATATTCCTTATTTAATGTATTAGTCATTTCTATCTCCAAAGAAACTAAAAAACACAGATTTAAAAAAAGTGTTAAATACAAAACACACATTTATTAAAATATTAATGTAACCCCCAGGCCATGAGTTGCCTCAATTTTTAATGATTCCTTTCAAATAATCTCAGGAAAGGGTACAAAAGTAGCACCCAAACCAATTTTTTTTTACAAGTAAATGGAAAAAATTGATTTATTTCTCTAACCAACAAGGAAATAGCCTAAATACAATGAAATTAGCAATTCATATTCATTTGAATATCATTACTTAAAATAATATTTTAATATAAGATGCAATAGAATCATTAAAATATTAATTTTGTGATTGTGGCAATTTTGGAAAACTCTCCAGGTAATAAGAAAATTCTATTAGTGGGTAACAGAAGTGCATAATAGGAAATAAACAGATTAACGAAATTGATAATGGTAATAATACAGCAAAAATATACTAAGAACTAATATGTAATAAAATTAAAGAGATTAATAAACTTATAAAGTCAATTAAATCTTAAAATCATAGCATCCAGACACAATGGACACATCTTACCAGGAGCATCAAATCAGTGTATGATTATGTTAAACTAAGACAGGGTGGTATTTGAAGTGCCAAGGTTTTAAGGAGAGCATAAAATGTGGTGGTAGTGCCTATTCTATAGCACTTGCGGATCTATTTTTTCCACAAGCCAAACTTCCAAAACACTGTACCATCAAAATCCCACATTACTCTAGAATTTATCAGTGGAATAACAAACCAAATGACTAAATTAATTTCCAACATTAGATTGGCAAATAAATACAGACCAGGCATTAAATGAACTATATAAAAAATAGTAATTCATAAGTAAATAAGTAAAAAACAAGAAATTCCGTGCACATTACTTTTTTTTCCCTAAATCTTGCTTTTTATGATTAAAGGAAACAGGCCGACACAGTTGTCTAGCTAATTCGTAGTCTCAGCAACATCCCACATTTCAATACTATAACAGTGTTAGGACAGTATTCAAGTCACGATCACAGGTAACAGAAAGATTGGGAAAGACCATCTGCGCTTGTAGCCTCCAAACATTGAAGAGATGTCACAAACACATCGCCAAAACTTGCCAATCGAATTCTCATTTATCACAACTTGTACAACTCATTGCACCTATTCCATGGAAGAATTCTTCCATGTGATCAATTCACTGACAAGCACTGACAAGTGACACTGCCAGTTCCCGCCGAACCGTTAGAAAACAAAAGTAAGAGAATACCAACCATGGCACGGCGAAAATAAAGGATACCAACAGTCCGCAAGTTTAGAAGCGGCATGCTCGGGCCAAGACGGGCTCTCCGCCAGCAAATCACAGCACGCCTGTCCGGTCACAGAGCAAGGAGTCGCATGGCGCGATTATCAAATATCTCTCACACAGGATGACAGGGTCGCTTTAAACGCGACATTCAAATATCCGTTACTGACGCGAGATGAATATATTATAAAACTCTTATGTGTTTATTTAATATGTAATGACTGTGAACTGGTTCATATGAGTGGTTAACTTTGTGGACAATAGAGAATATATTCAGGATTTTTTTTATTTTACTCACAATTACCATTACTTTAGATATAATTAAAGTCTATGGCCAAATTGCTGACTTGAAAATAGTAACGTAATTTCAAAATTAAAACTGGAACTTTTCGCCACACTATTTGCGACGTGATAAACTAATGTTAAAAATGTTTAATAGTTAAATCATGGTGGCGTCTTTGTACCAGTAGTTCTTGATTATTCAATGCTATATTTTTAAGTTTTTGACACCTCATTAAATTAGGTAAATTATGCATTTAGTTTCTTGTGAAAACGGGAAATGTACGATTAACAATCAATGAAGAGATGATTCCTCCAGTAATAGCACTTGCAATTCATTATCTTTTCAATTCATAACAATAAGAGGATTTTTTGTAATGATCTTTTATGAAGGAGAACTGTTTCCTAGACAATTCATTGCCATTAAAAGTAATTCGGCACGGATAAATATCTTGCAGCAATTCAAGAGGTTTTGGAATTGGCCGCAGAATATAGATACAATTTTTGACACAGGAGCAACGCGATTCTTTCCCATTCGAAGGGGACAGAATACGCAAATATGCAAGACGATGCGAATGGAATTCGAAAGCAATATAGACTTACAAAATTTTAGCGATAATAAGATCATGGAGAGTGATATAGAACTTTTTGCAAATCGTTTTGCTGTTCACGTCGTAAAAGATATGTCATAATTGCAGTGTGAATTGTAATATTACACACACTTAATTCAATTATTTTAATTCATTTAATAAAATTTAATGTCAGTCTTCAAAATATTCGAATAATTACTTATTAAGAAACAACGAACTTGCTAAAATATTACCCTCGAAATATTTCTTTCTGAAGATTCAAATTGAACAAATTTGAACTCTTGAATTTGAACTTGAATCAATGAATTTGTTCGTGAACATATATGCCACACATCTTAGCCATTTTATTTTAGAAATAGTTTCTTATAGTGAAATAATGCACGCGCCGAAAAGAACGTTTCGTTAGAGATAACTAACTTCCTACCACAATCATGTCCACATTTTCACTACAATGGCGGCCTTAAAATTAATCCTCGACAGCATCTTTTTCCCTAGGTGTAGTTTATTTTTTGTTCCACGTCTTTGACATGTATTTGATCAACAGAGAGCGTTCTAACACGCATTTCAGTTCCATATCATTCCAGCTCGTCGAATAAACGAAACAACAGTTGAGTCATTGGCTGCAAATCTGCGAAACAATGCAAGTACCTGCAAGTTCTGATAGAGAAAACGCTTTGAAGTGCGCTGTCGTGTTTCTTAGGTTAAAATTCTCACGAACTGATGAGAAACATTTTGCCTAGGCGTAGTGATGGAAGTAAAAGTATTGCGAATGAACTGAACAAAAATAGAAACTGGGGAAAAAGTAATTTACTAAGTTTTACATTATATTATACGACAGTGTCAAGGTAAGCCCGTTTCAATGAATTAGTAAATATAAAAGGTTAAATGTTTAGACAGCAGATTCTTAAACTTTTTGAAGTTAATACCACGTACATTGACTTTTAGTTCCATGCACTTCCAGATTCAAATGGACCTAATGACGGTTTTCTAACACTTTTAAGAAGAAATTTTTAATTCGCTCAAAAAATTATTTTAAATTCATATGGTAATTAAAAATATAGGATCTGAAAAAAACTAAACGTTTTAATGCATCACAAAAAAGTGAACAGTGTGTTTGTCTGTTCATTACTACGAAACAACACATACGAATAATTTATATAAATGTTTTCAAAACACTAGGGGCTTAGCTCAATTTGAATAATGAATAATTATAATAAGACTGAATAGTTTTATTTTGGAGTTCAGAGATAATAAACCATTTAAATTTGCAATAAAATGGGCGTGCCTGCATAATTTAACCATATTTTCGTGTCTGGGTTCTCTAGCTCACAACTTCAGGTGGATGTCAGGACCAAAGTGAGCTTATTGGGAGTTATTCAAATGATTATAACCAGAGACAAAATTTCCGTGTATGTTTTATGTAAGGTTACTATATCTCTTAATCTTTCTGAGTGAGTGTTTCATGTCATATTCACTTTCAAATTAATACCTCCTCTAGCCTGTTTGAATATTTTAGCGACTTTTTCAGAAATTCTCGCATAATACATTTTTATAATTTTCCCCACAAAATATGGCTTGTATTCACTTTTATTTAGCATTTTAAGATTTCTTATGATTTTGAATACATCATATTAACGTAACCAATGAACAATGCTCTGCCCTGTTCCTTAGGTTCAAATTCTCACGAACTGATGCGATAAAATAAATTTCCCTTTAAAAAAATGTTGTTACAATTTGTAACAACGCTCTTACGCAACCATGTACATGGAATATACGGAGTAATCCTCGTTTAATCTAGTCAGACATCGTCAGTCTCAATCAGTCATTGCCTTTTATCCCTTCTACCTGGGGCACGAAGCTTGATCAGCACTGTCAGCGTTAGATTCTGTGATTCCCAGACGGTAAACCCGGGATGTCTCGAACTGCCTAACCTCTAAGAACCCGGGATGTTGCGAACTGCTTACACTCCGTGACTTCACGGAGAGTAGTTAAGGAAATCGGCTAGCTGCGCCGACGTGCTCGCTTTTAGTGTATTAGTTTTGAAATATGACAATTTCGACTTTTTTTATTTCTAAAATGTGCATTTTAAGAAATATCTGAAATCTAGAAGAAAAGCAACTGCGACTCCATTCTTGTTAAAAGGCGATGCGTCTAAGACCGTTTTATACTGTCATTTTTTTCATCGTTTTTCATCGGTACAGAAAATTGACGCACCAGACGGATATCATTTGTAGACAAATTACTCATGATTCAATTTTTGGTACCGATTTTATCCAGTTTGACTACTGCGATCCTTACGTCACTTCCCGGAAACATTTCTAATTAGCTACGGGAGTGGCGTGTTTTGTTCCTTTTCTGCCGTTTTAACAGCGTTCCATTGTGTAGAATTGTAATGTGAAGTGATCAGTGTGGTGAGAAATAAAACGTGTTCTAATGTCTCGTTCCGTGCTCATTCTGTAGAGGCGGTGTTGGCTCAGTCCTAAAATACTCTAACATAATTTATTACTAGAGATGCTTTTCAACTATTTCAACTTCAGCGCTCTGTGCGGCGTCCGAAGGAAATATTGTCATCACGATTAGTCGCAGAAAACAACATGGCTCGATCTCGTTCATCAAATTTGAAAAACCGAAGCTGTATCGCATAATAATAATAATAATAATAATAATAATAATAATAATAATAATAATAATAATAATAATATTTATTGAGTCACATATACAATTACAGTCGTGTATGACGAGTCAATATGATGCCTTGGGTGGAGAGAGCGAAGTTATATTACTGTTCAGGAGCAAACAAGGGGCCATCTCAGCATTTGCTCAAAGGATCAGGGAAACTGAACAAAACCTGATCGAGATGGGGTCATAGAAACGAAGGCCCAATTTCCATCCATTTCTGTACAGATAAATGATTAAAAAAATGCCCGTGTAAAACTGGCTTAAGCGAGCTGATTTGCCGTTCGGGCTTGGCACAAATCGAAATGCGGTTGTGTGCACAGGGGCAATGGTCGCCGTCCGAGGCCTGGGCCAGGGTCTGGCCCGGGGCCTGCACCGGGGCTTGTGGGCAGGACTGCTGCTGGCCGTCTGCTGGACCGCCAGCGTGCTGGTTCCGCTCCGCCTAAGTGCAGACGTTACGCATCTTTATTGCTCTGTCTCTTTATTTATTTACTTACGTACCTATTTATTTACTTACGTACCTATTTATTTACTTACGTACCTATTTTTATTTACTTACGTATTTATTTATTTACTTACTTAGTATTATTTATGTACTTACTTACGTATTTATTTATGTACTTACCTTACGTATTTATTTATTTACTTGTTACGTATTTATTTAATTTACTTAACGTATTTATTTATTTACTTACGTTATTTATTTACTTACGTATTTATTTATTTACTTACGTATTTATTTATTTACTTACGTATTTATTTACTTACTTACGTATTTATTTACTTACTTATTTACTTACTTACTAACTTGTTTACTTACTTACCTACTTACTTATTTCTTTAGTTAGTAGAAATTATTCATGTCGAGGTAAAGTAAAATATAATAAAACCATTAGTTGCAGACTCGTACCTCAGCAGCCACAATCCAGACAGGAGTTCCGATCTTGCGAACGAATCCTCCCAGCAGAGCTCAAGCGCGGCTGAACCTGTGTGGAATCCGTCAGAGCGAGGGGATTTTTCTTCGGGTCCGAGAGAGCCACGAAGACTGGGGTGCGTATGATCACTTTACCGACTTACGTGGCTTTCAGTGTCAATTGATGTAATATCAGTGCTTCTGACCGGGAGGACTTCGTGATCGAGATCCGGCAATGGCGGGATTTTTGATTCTAGCTACATAGCTAGTTGGAATTCAACCGCTGTCCGGGGAGAATTCTAGCGGCCGGCTGCTCCGATCGGTAGTTTTCCATGGTTTCTTCGATCATCAACATGCGAATGCCGGAGCAGACCTATGAAACGGGCCTCGGACAATTTTTCCTTCCTCTTCGTAGCGGTATCATTACCTCTTACTTACACACACACACACACCTATACGCACACACTACCACACTGGTGGGAGATAGTTCCTGGTTGTGG